CATTTCACGCCGCCCGTAACAGGACCAAAACGTAGATAAAAGTGAACCCATCTAACGAGTGGCCTTGTATTCAGCATACGTTATAGAAAAGATTTTACTTACATACAGGAAAGCATCAGTTAAGCAATTCATTCAAATCTCAGTTAGACACGACGAAGAGTGGGTTATAAGAGATGCCACTATAATATTACCACACATTTAGAAACAAACCATTGTGGTGGCATAAGGAGTGCATTGGCAAATGGGAGGCAGTTCGGATGAAGCAGACAAACATGATATGCAACAATGTTATTTGCTGTCACGTGGCACATACCTTAATGCCACCACGATAATGAGCGTGTTCAGGCTACCCCGTCCGTCGCAGCTCGCGTCCAATATGTGTCCGCGTTTGGTGGCTGGGAACTTCTGAAATAAAAAGAATTAGACTGCGGCCCTAAAAACCTGGCATCACACGATAAACGGCTTCTTCACTGACAACAGAAGTAGTGAGAACAGGCCTAAATCAATAACAGTAAAGTAGTCCAAGAAAACATACCATTTCATCGGTCTACCACGATCAATAACTTACGGTTGAAGACAAAGTCGCGCTAATGGGCAAAAATCTGCCATTTGATATTGAAGAGACTGAAACTCATGAGCTCAAGGAAGTCACCAGCTTGTGACAACATACCACCTAAAATCTCAAAACAGTATGAGGGAGCCATCAGTAAATCAATCTGTGACTACTTTAGGCACTCATTAGATTCAAATCAACTGCCAAGAGGACGTAAATTTGGCACTCGCTTCAATCCTTAAAATGGCAAATTGCCATGGCAGCCACAAAAATAGTCAAATTTTATTAGAAGGGTTAAGATCTCTTCTGGAACGATAACCACTTGCATACTTCCTACCAATTCGATTTATGCATGACCCTTGCCCTACAATAGATTGTCATGGTTTGTAACTCGCTAAATTGCTACATGCTCGAAGGTCATATTCTGCCAACATCTTTTGTATCAACTTCGTATGAGTTGCTTGTTCTACCACAATTATCAATTTACCTGCAATTTCGTCCTCTTCCTGTCTTAGCCGTCGAGGTTTGATGTGTTGAGTATAATTGACTGTTGTCGGTTCCGAAGAAAAATGATCATATTAGAGAAGCTCGATCATTTTCGTCACTAAATTCGCAACATCCTATGTTGTAATGAACACCAGTAACAAGACACGATGGGAATAAAAGAGCAAACGGGCAACCCCTATACTGCCGAACGTAGTTGGAGAACTGGTTATAAATCAAATGATGGTATATAGTGGTATTGGACCCTAAACATAATCCTCAAAGCTGGACATAAGATAATTGACTTTCAACATTTAACACTAAGAGAAGGTCATTAATGTTGCACGAGGGAGCATTCATTTGAGACCGAATTCATCGGATGGCTCAGCCTTGCAGGCGTGGTCATGCTTGTGTGATTTATCTCTTTTATTCATAATAAATATTTTATTCTATCTCCAGCTTGAACGTGTTTTTTAGAAGCGCGAAATATTATATTACTGAATACTACGACACTATGATTCTGTGTAGGCAACGATGAGACTTCCACGTAAGATCTTGTATACTAGATGGACGTGTCATGAGAAATCTACAAATTAAGGATAAATAAAGTCTATTATTGTAGCAGTACTGATAACGAACCTAAACCATAATTCTACAGATATACACAAATGAAGTCCAACACGGATTCAGGAAAAGCCGGTTCCGTGCGTTCAATCTACTTATACAACCGAAAACTAAACTAACTGTTGGGATCATAAGATACTCGTGCATGAAATATTCATCAATTTCATGTACTTATATAATAATAATATAATGATAATACATTTCTGCATGAGCAGGTGTACGCCATTTTTACAGGAATGATCTATAAATTACAACATTTGTTGGTGCACAGCATGCTTCATAACTTACTAAGTATATAGCTGTTGTAAAGCCGACTCTTAGAGCGCTTGCTGTAAACCATGACTTTGAGGAAGCGCGTACGTCAAGTTTGTTCCAGACGTGAGAAATTCCATAGCTGTGCCCTCAGAGCAAGACTCTGAAGAAAAAGTGTTGTAACCCGGTGAAGATTAAACTACAGGTAATTTCTGAGGCCTAATAATGGACTAATATTCTATAAATATTCTTATTGTAAAACTATTGAGTAATTAGATTATGTATATTCATATTCCTCTTATTATAAGCTTTATTTTGACTTATATTTTATTATTGTACGATTTACGATTCTTAAGCTATGCTCAGTCTATTAATTACTGTCCCCCTCGTTCACAGCCACTTTTTGGCTTATTTGTGTACACATGTTATTTTCTATTTTATGGTACGTTGTGGTTTGTCTGATTGATATATAAACCGAGTATGTCTGAAATAAACTATTTGATTCATGTTACAGAAGCTAGTATTGTGTTCTGGACTCAAGTGGAAGGGCTAGGAGGACATAGGACCAATCAGGACGCTAAACTGCTCATACCGGTTGGACGTCATTGGTTTGGCATAGCGCGAAATTGTATAAGTCGTATTCTGACTGGTCGATAAGTCGCGTGATAGAAAGCCAGACATCAAGGTCATAACAGAAAAAGAAACAGAAGAGCACTAAGGCACTTGGATATGAACGCCAAACGTTGCTTAACATGGTGTAGTAGAACAGACAGTGGTTTAATAAATTAGGTTAAATTCATATTATCTGTTGTTAGAGTGAAATGAAGTCAGAGGCTCCATATCAGAGAATGTAGTAATGAAGAACAATAGTCGTGTCGTTCAGCAAGTTGGAGTAAGCTTTTATGAAGCAAGGGAAGTCAAGGTTGGTACCAGGAAAGCGGTTTATCAGGAGGGAGTGTGAATATAGAGGGTGAAGTGTTAAGAATACTAATAACTATATCTTTTATTGTCTAGTTTTTTTCTTTCTCGTTTTTTTGTCCATCCAATGTCAGCCACACAATCCTAGTGTAGAAGTCCGAGTTAGCATGTTATAGGTTGTCTTAGTAGAATAGCTAATACAGCATAAAATTGGAAACATGAGTCTGAGTGGTGAGCGTAGGAAGACAATTCATATCGCAGATTGATTGACTTATTCTCAATCATAAAGAGCATGATAAATACAAATTAATTTGTCCCACACACCCTGGTGGATTGAAGTCATCGCCCTCACCATCAATGCTTGCTGGTAAGTAACTCCACCCTCTCTCCTTTTGTGATGTAAGGCCCATCCAAGTTTATTTTTGGATGTATGTCATGCCTCACACAATCCTCTGTGTTTCACAACCTGTTGGAAAACACTATTTCTATAAGTACCATTTTACAAGCTTATCAGACAGTTACAAGTTATGAACTGTGGGTAAGGAATCGATGCAGTGCTTTTGTTGACTACAGTATAAAGTATAGTTTGCCAGTCAGATTATAAGCATTGAGAAGGGTATAATGTAGGATAGTTGTTTATCAAGCAGGCGGAAAAGTATAGAAGTATATGAGTTGTAGATAAGTTAACGAGTGGAGAAATGATATTAATTGCTACTAAACATAGTGTACAGAAGAGTAAAAAGTTAATAAAGAATGTTACGAGATGAGTTTAACTGACTCAATTTTTATCCTGGTACTGACACTACCTAAAGAAACAGGATTTTCCACAAAAATAGATTCCATATGGGTTGGAAGGCCTTGATATCATGGATTTCACAAGGTACAATTTGGGTTTCACTTCTGTTCTTGATCTTTATTAACGACCTGTTAGATAAAATCAACTCAGTGACACTGCCGACGTAAGGTCGTGAAGGTCCATAGGGCGTGAAAATGATTAACGTGAGCATATAAAGGATCTTACAGTAATAAAGAAATAAGCACTACACCATGGGTTAAAACTTAAGCTGTTGAAATGCCATGTTATGGAGTTCCTGCCTCATTTGAAACAAACGCTTAACATCCTCTGTGGAAACTCACTGCTCCACCTTGGGCCTTTAACCTTAGCTTGAACACTAGCTAAAACTACATAGGATATGAAGCTAAGGCGTAGGAAACATTTCACTTTATGCATAGAAAACTTAACGTAAACACTTTTGAGTTGATCTCTACACGCACACCTCCACCTTGAAGCCCACGATGTTGTTCCTTCCTGTTTGTTCCAAAGAGGGACAAATCATTTAGACGAAGTACAGAAACGCGGGTCAAGTGGATAAGAAGCTTAAACACAACTCTTGCCAAGACACACTTCAACACCTGAGATTTTTCTCGCCTAGCTACAGATGAATAAGAGGTGATCCGTTTATGGAACACAACATATTAATTATGTCAAGCCACCGCAACACGAACAAATTTCGAGAACATCATCGTAACGCTACTCGAAACAACCCTAAAATATTGCACATCGAAAAGCGAACACACAAATGTGTTCTTAATTTCGCTCGTCAACAGTTGCTCTCATCTGGAATCCTCTCCTAACAGATGTTCGGTTCCGTCTAATCACAAATTTCCGGCTAATTAACTCATTTAATACTCTTGGATAAATCGTCTTCTATTAGCACTCCAATAATCACCGTATCATTTTCATACTGAAAACAAATTCCTGCTTTGTAATTTGGTAGTAGGTGATATCAAGACACCATACTGTTCTGAGAGAAACACAGTCACTCAAATTAAAATATATACAAATTCTCAAAAAACCACCAAACTTACTAGAATTATTGCAGTCAGTAAGCTATACTGCCACCCAAAGGACAGTAACAAGTACATAAAAGCATTAGGAAGCAAAAACAAGCAATCGAAAAACAAGCAATCGTTTTATACTAGCTCGTGAAAAGGACGCTGTATATATTGGGTTCTACTACCAGAAGCATGACATGTTGCTTTCATATTGTACTGATTTAAGAATATAACCATTGAATTTTATCCAAATTTATAATCATACAGAATGCAGATGGATGGTAAATATTTTAGTTTCGTAATTGACGCTTATTTTTGTAAAGCAAGTTTAATAGTTTATTGACCTTGACGACTTTTGAGTAACCTTGGGGTTAGCATTATCTCAAATTATCAACCGGATCAGGGGCGAATGTGCTACCTTTTTTCACTGTTTAGTGGGTATTCCGAGTGCCCTCTTTTATTTAACACGTGTAAGTTGTTTACGTGCTTTGTTATCGTGAACGTTTAATGTTATCTTACGGAGCTTATAAGTATTTGAGTTACATCTGTGACCGAATAGCAGGAAATAATCTATATTTACAAGTACTGTGCCTGTTATTTTCAGTATCAAGTGTCACTGCCTACGATATCTTTAAAGGTTTTTTCAAGAATTTTTGAAAAGTGCTAATTATAAGTAGTGTACCTATATATAGGTAGCGTTAACGCTACCTTCAGGTAATTACCTATATATATGTAACGATTGTAATTGTTAGATTCACAGAACTTGTCCAATTAGTTGATGACACTCATGGTCACTAAAATATATTTAGGGACGCATTAAGGTAAAAACTTTACATTGAGAAAAAGAAGCATCATTTGACTTGACGTAAAGATGCGAATGTTAACGTCTGATTTGTTATTAAGATATTCTATAAATATTTATATGACAATAAGTGTTCATTATTTCTCCTTGAGGGCAGTTGTCTCGTGAAGAGTCTGAAAAGTGTACTATGAACCGATATGATCTGCTTTGACGTTACCCATCTAATCTTCTGGACTTGACAATTGCTTTCTGCATCAATCGTAGATATTATTTCAATCATAATTACTTGCTGCTTTAAATATGATAAACATAATATAAGCTGGTTCTCTTTACTTAATCGTTTGCTTATTGACCAGTCCAGTTATAAATACTACACATACATTCCAAATTTCATTGTTCTGTTTATTCAACGCTTTGGTACATTTCAGATTCACAATTCTGATCATACCTTCTCCGAAATTGTATTCAGTCATGAAAAAATAGCTTCATGTCGCACATTATATTTACTGATAGCCCATCACTTTCAAGTGCTTTAATATACTCTTGACTTCTTAAATTAGTTAAAAGCAATGGATGAACCGCAATTTTCTGTTTTGGAGGTAATTAGAAAGCTTGGCATAGTACCTATCTACGGATGGGAAGCTCGCTTTGATCATAAATACAAAATAAAATGCCGTCCTTTTACCGTGCCACGGGCTTCGCAGATGAGTGATATTCTGGGAATGTCTTTTCGGTTAGTTATTAAACATACCATTGTTTTTTAACATTGGGTGTTGTTTTTAGTAAACATTTTGCAAGTAAGGTAGAAAATATTTTCTCAGTTAACCGTCCGAACAAGCATTATTACTACTAAATTTATACCTTATACCCTAAGCGAAGTTATAAAATCGTATTTACATGAATCTTAATAATATTGGTTCAATTGACAGATAATTCCCATTTAAACATTAAAATTAAAACACGAATTTCAGCGAAGGGATCTCTTTTCAACGAATTTATTATCAAGCTGTACAATCGTATATATATGAAAATTTTGGTTCAGTTGATAAATTATCGTTTTTAATAATAACCAGTTTGATTCTGGTTCATCTATGGTTTAGCAATTAAGGTAATACAACACCAACCAACAGGTATAACGTTTGAACTAGATTCCTATTCCAGCTTAGGATGGCTAGTAGTACCAGTACAAAAACTTGTACTTGGTAGATGAGTTACAGCCGCATGTTATAGGTGATCAAGCATCTTTAAACATTTGCCATGGCTATTGCATTATAAAAATGTAAAATTGTTCTTTAGCAATCGCGACTGTTGAAAATCAGTTTTAGATCAAATTACTGATGTAGCTGAATACGCGATTACTCAAAATAACTTGTGGGACCATAAATCAGCCGCTTTACTAGTTAACAATATCGTTTTCTTTTTATAGAATTCGGTTTACATCAAAAGCTAAACTACAGAACGTCTGTTACGCTTAAGTAGCCATTTCACTCACAATTAAACTTATTATCATCAAACTCGTTCTTACACAGTTGTTGAAAGCGGCTAATCCACAAATTTGTTGCGTATGCAGCAAATTTAGCTGTGACAACAAAATTCTAGACTAATGTCCGAAGGAGTGGTACGAAACGTAACAGGTAATAATATGTTGTTCTATAAAAATCAAATTTTGCAGTAAACTTTCAGTTAGGCTAAGTATTTTCGTACAGGGATCGTCATTAGTATCTACGTGGTTACTAAATTAGTAGCGTATAAAGTTTAAATCACTTTCTAAGCTGATCAAACGTTTGTTCCGAAATTTCGATTAGCATTTATTCGGAACTAGGCGTTTCATTGTTAATACCAGCTTTGTCACATTAATAAATTTGAGGCAACTTGGAACTTTAATTAGTCTTATTATTTTCGGTCCATTGGCTGTGATGATTGATTCTAAAACTTTTGCATGACTTTTGGGCATCATTCTATCGATTTTCTAAGGTAAAGTTGCAGTTTTTACCACAAATTCAACTGTAAACTGTTGATAATACTTCATTCAAGCATGCTCTGCCTTCATTCTTACCTTGAACTTGTATATACTTTCCGGGTTATTAGCAAAGGAATCTGAGAGAAATCTAAGGTCACTGCGATCTGTTGTTTGCGATTTGAAATATTCTAAAGACGTTACGTTGCTACATAAATCGCAAATTTGTTAGCGACATACTTCTGCAATCGACATTTATTGATGTTTTTGTAAGATTAATACATATGTTATTTATTTCAACACATAAATAGTGGTACAGAGGCACTAAATACATGTGCGCCACATAACTCACTTGATTTGTGTGTAGTCTCTGATATTGCCCGGGTGCTCAGACCGAAGCAGTTGATTTTCCTAGGGGGCCACACACTGAGCCATTGATCTAAGTTTCTGATCCACAAGGTAATGGAGCAACGTCGGGAGATGCAGTCTCATGGTAGCCGGTTACCAACGATTGGTTCATACTCCATTTGTTCCTTCGGGATGCTGGGGCCGATGTGTACCCTTTGATTTGGAATCAGGGTTTTTCAGCCTCCTAGGTGGACTCTTCGTGTCCACCAACATGGTTAAAGCGCCAGACATTCGCTTTTAGTCCTCTCAATTTTGTAAATAACAGTAATGCCGCGAGAAGGCAGTGAGTAGGACATCCCTGGCACCTATTGACGGGAAAATGAATTATGACTTATCAGTACCCAGGAAATATTTGAAATTTCGCTCTTATTCATTTTTCAGATACGCTTTCCGGTTTTACATAAAGAAGCGTTTTATTCAGCACCGATCGCCCTTTATTGATGCCGTTTCTCACGTACCATGGAGACCCATATATGGCGTACCGATTGGAGGTATTGGCAGTGGTTCTATCGGGCGTGGATATTGTGGGGAGTTTTGTCGTTCAAGCCTGATACCAGGTATGTACTGTTACGACGTACAACCTGTTGATCAAGTAAGTTAACACAGACAATTTCACTTCTCACTTAATGTTGTTATCTGGGTAAAAGGTTATTGTACTTTTTCAAACATGTATTTATCATTTACTAAACAATAACCCATACTTCCTATCTTTTACTGGTCTTCCACTATGTTTCACCTCTGGGGTCCGAGAGATGGTACGACACAGTGGCTAGAGACGTTATCAGATATGGCTCAGAATAGAAGCCAGTGGCGATCCTGCTGTAACCTTTTACTTTCTTCGTAAAAAGTGGTTGTATCTTCCTTAACTGCAAGATTTCTTCTGGTTGTACCTCTCCGTTTCCCCCATTATTATTGTTGTCACTATTATTATTATTATTATTATTATTATTATTATTATTATTATTATTATTATTATTATTATTATTATTATTGTTATTACACTATCTTGCACTAATCTGGTCGTTATTGTTCTTTTTTGTTTCTTTTACGCTCCTTACCTTCTTTTTTTCGCTTCCCATTCTCATTGTTTTGTGTGGCGCATATATATTTGCTGCCCTCTTGTACCAATAATTATGTGTTTAAATAAATAAATAAATAAATTCTTTCACCTGTTAGTTGAGGCTTTAGCATTAGGAATTTACATTAATAAAATCACTACAGTCTATTTAATGACTGACTGACTGATAATTTCAGTGTTGTACTTCAAGCGTTATTGTATTGGAGTTGTGGGTGGGTTTTAATAACATATTTGTAATTAGGATAAAAAGTCAAGCAAAATACATAAAAATTGCTTACTTTTATTCCTAGTTGTTTGATGGTATCTATATATAATTCATTCTTGAACCAAACCGGAACATGCAGTACAGAAATCAGTCAAGATAACACACTTCCTTTTCGGATTGCCAGTTTGATTCATGGAATCTTGCTAAAAAATGAAATAATAGCCAGTGTACGTAGAAACCGTTCACCTTGTTATCGAATAATCTTCAGTCGTTAGGACAGTTATTTATTTCTGTATTCAATAACGTAGTTGGGAGAAATATGTTTCTGTTATCGTTCCTCCTAAGAATTGATACATATCCAGAATTGTTTTGTTATATTAATAGTTCTCATGGGTTTTATGTATTTTTGATTATAAGTAAATGTAAATCATCTTTTTGTTTCACATCGCTAAAGTCCTTACCATCACACAAAATTAGAAGTAATACTAAAATAAATAGTGGAATATTTTAGTGTGTGAATGTTATAAAGGATGTTTCTTGTAATATGATTAAACAAAATTTTCTGCTGTCAGAATTAATGAGTAGGATTCCAAACGAAAGATGAACGCAGTGAGGTAACGTAGCCGAGTGATGGCTACTGACGAGTTCGTATTGTTGATTTAGGTCTCGATGATCGGTAATTTCCAATGGTTCTCTAAATAGTCTAAATTAGAGGTGAAAATGGCTTTCAAATTATTATGTTAACTAATTCCACTTGGGATAAATTTGTTACTGTTTCTCTTGTGATGCAAATTTCATGTCTAATTGGGTTTTTCTACATCTTTTACTTTCGTGCATAGAGTTCAAGTTTCATAAGTATTTTTTATTGTATCTGCATTCTTTTTATTTTATTCACATTCAGTTCATCGTAACAGTCCGAAAAAGCGATGTTACTGTTTATCATCAAGTTCTGTCACCATTAACGAAACCTCCATCAAATGCCAAAAGATTAAAAAAGTGGAAATGGGGTTTTGATCCAGAAAACGGGCATTACGTTGGTTTATATCCTAGATCGTGGACAGTTTATGAAATACCTGAACTTCAACTTGTATTAGTTTGCCAACAGGTACGGAAAATTCAATGAAACATTAGATTTTAACGTTGATGTTTTCGGTTGATAGATAAAATACTTAAACGAATTTAATACCAGTCTAATATTTCATTTTTTTGGTATATAGTTTAGATATCCTTGTAATTGTAATGAGTAGTGAATTTGAAAAGAGTTTTAATTTGACTGTCTTTCAATACTGAAATTGACATTTTTTCTATTTTTAAAAGTAGTGAAAGAAAAAACTAAATATAGGTGATATTGGCTCCACAAATAAATGACTTTTAGGATGTGTGCAAACATTTTTCATGTTGACATGTTTTTGTTTGGATTGGTTGAGGTTGAACGTTAACCCTGTTGGATACCGGCTCAATGGTCTAGAGGTTAAGCGTTTATGCGCGAAACCAAAGGCCCTTGGTTCGAGTCGCGCGTGTGGCGTCTTGGATGCGCACTGCTGAGGAATTCCACACAAGGTTGAAACAGACATCCAGTGCTTCCAGGTTTTCAATGGTAGTTTAACATTGATCGGTTCATGGTTTCAGTTAAAATGCTCTTATTTGTTTTGTTGTAATTAACGCGAAATACTGTCATTTGGTAACAATAAAAAGATCCACTTGAAACAAAGTTTCATTTGTAAATAAATGAAGTCATGTAATAACGACAAGAGTATTAAAGAATACAATTTTAATTATGGAGTAACTTATGTTGAATTTATTACCTTCAGTGTTACATTTTATTCAAAACATAAGTTGCGGAAGAAAACATCGAAGGAAGCGGAGTAAATGGAGATAAAAAAGAACGCATGTATGGTATTCATTTCAGCTATTGTAAACTCACCATCACGAAGCAGTAAATGTATATAAATTTATCGTAACTTAGCCAACGTCTTGTAACTAGGTAGTCAAATTAGTAATGAAGTTGCTGCATCCTCTTTTAATTCTGATGTAAATGGGGCGAAAAGTTCACAGTTAATATCTTTTTTGATTAACGCATGACAAAACTGTTCATTGACTGACTGCGTGTCTGAATAACGGATTTTTCTATTTTATTTTCTGAAGAAACTCCATATGTTTTAGTTATTTCTATTCAGAACCCGTTACGTACCCAATTGGTACTTCATAATACACAATGATTTTAACTGGTGGCACATATTTGTATTGAATATCCTACTGTACGTTATTTTTTCAAAAAAAACATTGTAAGTATCAGTTCTTTCTTACAAATCTTGTTTATCTAGATATCCCCTGTTATACCGCATGACTATCAGGCAACATGTCTTCCGGTTGCTATATTTCATTGGAAAGTTATAAGCTGGAATAATGAAGATTTAAGAGTTACTATCACATTTTCATGGCATGGCCCCAATCCTCGTAAACGATCTAAATCAAGTGATGTTTCCAAATCTGAGAACGGGAATAATAGCAACGAAAATACTGCAAATACTCATGTTTTCACTTCAGAAAATGCTTCTCCAGTTTACTCTCAACGATCCACAGCTTTTTCTGCTGGTGATAATGTACTGGGATGCCTTTTAGAAAGAACTATTGGAGGTGAACTACCTTGTTGTTTTGGTATCGCAGCTAAATCAATGGACAAAGTAAGTTGCCCATCAATGTTTTTTCAACTCGTGAAGATTGAATTATGTATATTAGTACTTATTTTTGTAATGTCATGCATCGAATCGTCCATTCAGTTTTCTTCAGGATTTCGACTACTTTCTAACCAGTCTACTCTTTATTCAATCTTTCGACAAATAATTTTAATTAACAACTCTTTTAGAAATATTCATTACATCAGTTTGGGGACATGGAAAGTATTTTATTGACTTTTTAATTCTCGATAGATTTTAATCTGATGTCAATATTTCGAACATTTTATTAGTTTTCGTGTTCATCTCTTAGATATCAGGCACGATCTTTTTCACCAAAAACAGTAAACTCTTTCCTGATTTCGGTTGAATGTTTGCTGTTTACGAAAGTAAAGAACTCAGCGTTGTATATTCGTTGTTTATCATAATAATCATTCCCACTAGGATATCTCTATTCATTTTTTAAAATTGAATTGTCAGTCCAAAAGGTTAAAAATATCTAATAATCTGTCGTGGTTAGCTGACCTAAGAATAATTTTACTTAATGTTCAATTTCAATATATATACGTTAGATAATAGTTTTACCTATTGGGCTTAATATTTTGGTGCATCTCTCTTGTAGTTTGATCTTTTCGCTGCTTTTTATTTGAAAAGTGCATTAGTGCGATTTATGTTCATAGCCATAGAAATAAATCTTATCCCCGAATAACCTTAAATTTTCCTTGTACTTTCTCACTGAAGTCGTGTTATTCCATCAGTTTCTTAAGTAAAATTAATAGAATACCGAGTAGAATTTCTAAAAACCCTTTTTAAAACGGTTTACATCCTTTTTTGAGGTGATTTTTGACGTCGATTCCTAGAATATATTTTGGTTTTCTTCAAAGATAGTGTGTTTGACATTCTGAAATCTCCAAACATGTTATATGAACTCTGGATTTTTCTCGGTAATGTTTTTCCGGTTATAATTTGGTTAAGAGAAATAAAACTATAGATTCGACATGCTTTTAATTGGTGATTACAGTTATCTTGCAGTGACTATTTTTCAACCTTTGATACGTTGCTCAACCATCTTACCTTCCATTTAACTGATGGTTTTATACTTTTTACGAATTCTGTTCTTCAATTGCATGATAATTTTTAATTCTAACTCTAGTAAATCAAGTTGTAATCGCATAAATTGTGTAGCGTATCTATTCCTTTTACGGAGTGCATGAATTTAATACAATCGTACGACTTTTTTTGTGACCTATGAATTGTACTTTTTAACTAAAATTACTCAATACGATTTTCTTTGTAGTTTTTTGACAAGGGGTGGTCTGATTTGTTCACTAAAATCTACGTTATTTTTCTAAGGATATATTGATATATTGAAATTCAACTGAATGAAACAAGTGTGTTTTGTTTCTAAGTGCTCTGAGGACAGAACGAGGCAAGATGCGTTTACCTATCCATGAGTTTGATTAACTACTTGAATGTTATACTGTGTATTAGAACCTAGTTTTGTTTGAAAATAATAGAACACTACTTTGTTTTTTTTAAATGGCTTAGTGAAACTACCACTGGAATAGACGGATTAATCAAGTAAATATATTAGTCGTTAAGTATGATAACACAGTATCATCAAGTAATCTGACTAAAATACTAGGGAGGTTGTGTGATCTCAGCACAAGGACATTAATACGTTGTTGATAACCGTAGAGAAATCTTGTATTACAGTAGTTTCTGAAATGTTATCTTCCATAATCACCTGGCACTTAAATTAATCTGAAAAACGATAAATTCAAAAAAGTTAACCAGGTTTTGAACCTTCAGATTTCACTTTTTTGCTGCTAAGTTTATTGAGTCCTGTAATGTTTGGTATATGACGAACTGTTGATGAGAATAGGAAGTGCACATTTTCTTATTATCGACTGGTGAAACAAAAGGCTCAAATTTCTTTGAGGGATTGCGCACGTTTATTCACTTCACTGGGTGAGTAGTCTGATGAGCTTAATTAGTGACCGAAAATCTGTCTCACTTAAATTCATTTTCCTGTAAATCTAGAGCTTATTGCATGGTTCTACTCTCCTATTCTATTCGTTCTTTTCAAAGTGTATTTCTTACGTCTAACTTTACGCTGTAGTCAATACTACTGTTTCCCCTCCTCCTGTATTTGATGTGATACGTGGATATATCTTCTTCCTGTCCTACTTTGCAGTTAATTGTAATAATTCCTAGTTTACGACCCAAAGTGCTTTCGTGCATGACACCAAAATTATGCTTTTAATATTGTCACGTTGGTAATCAGCTAAATAGTCGAATTTGTTGAATATGTTGCTTATTTAAATTCAATTTGTAAAACATCGTTCTTCCGTAACTTTATTGTTTTTTTCACTTATCGTAAGGTCGAAGTGAGTCGGTGTCCAGGCTTTTGCTTTCACGATAAGGCGTTGCATGGTACCTTGCATGATTCCAGACATAATCCTGAAGTTAGTGGCAATGGTCACTCAGATCTGATAACTTATCTTTCCTACACTAAAGCGCCATCTGCTTCACAATTCTGGAATAATCTTCAGTATGGTCAAATACCTCCCGATTTCCATTCAAGTATGAAAATTACTGTAAACTTTTATTGATTTTAGTGATATGTGTATCAAATACATTTAGTTAAAATAGTCACAGTTTTTTGCTAAAATTCATTTTTTTGCGTATGGACTGACATCAGTTAATGTAAAGTAATAGGAAAAAATATGTTGTTAGATTTATCGGTTACTTTATTTAAAACCTACTGGTAAAAGAAAACTGATTCTTAATATGGACTTAATCTATTATTGCTACTTCAACTCTTACACTTAATACAAAGTACACTGATGCATATGAAATATACTTTTTAGTCCCCTTTATGAAGTAATATGTTTGGTTTTTATGATACTTCAATAATAATAACACTCTGCAGTATCAAGTAATATATCTTATGACTTTGGGGATTGAAGAAATCTCCATCTTGGATACTGCTGCTAACTATACAACTTATCGTAACTGGATGTAATTTATACGGTTGTCAATTATTTTGAACGAATGTTTTCAAGTTCATCTACTTCTTGAAGTGTAGCCAAAAAATAGTTTTGTACAAACTAGATTAGCATGGTCTGTTAGTAGCTGTGGCTTTGGAAAAGGGTATAAATTCAGATAGGTGTCTTTCTGTTAATTTTTTTGTTAACTGTTTGACGTTTTGTACAAACAAAGACATATTCACAAAGACTTTCTGAATGAAATTAATGTGGTTTTTATGCTGAAAGGGCGTTTAAATTGTGCTTTTTGCTACTGAGTCGTTAGAAATTAAATAAATATGAAATGGTTTCATCCTTTTTTGATTACTTTACTGCTCTTTTTACGCTCAGTTCCTCTGCTCAATGAGTACCCCAGATTTTTGTTTCCTTTTGTGATATCTCCACTCGCATTTTACTTAAAGTTTCTTTAAATATCAACATGAAGATCTAATCTTGAAGTTTGTTTTAATTTTTGCGCTAATTAGTAGTCTCTATACTCGGGTGTCGTCCACTTTATGCGAGGGTTCACTATCTTTCTCTTTTTAGTTGGTTATACCGTGCCACTGGATTCTGAAGCCAAGAAATCACCCAAACTAGCAATTGCTGTAAGCGCCACAACTAATGTACCCCGATGCAACATCGCTAATAATCTTAATCCTAGTCAAAGCGAACTTGAATTTGCCATCACTTGGCATTCTCCAATAGTAAAATTTCGAACAGGTGACGTTGTTTATACTCGGTACGTAAATTTATTTTGTTTTTCAGTTCGTTTGATGATGGTTTATAAAAAGTTATGTTTTTCATCTAAAACGTCGATAATAGTTAATATGTACGACTGATTCTAAAGTTCCAAATCCAGTCGTTGTTTTACTTATTGCAAAACTTAAATACTTTGCAACATATTTTATTCAATCCAATTTTTATGCAGTAGTTATTCAATATTTGTTTGTTTGCAGAAACAATATATTATTAGTGATACCGTAATGAAGGTCAAGTTTTTGTAACATATATCAATCACTTATCAGCCACTGCTTTATTATTTCCGTGGTTGCACCAGGGTATCATATGATCATTTTGAAAGGCACGTTTATTCCTAGCTTAAACAGTAAAAACTCTTCTTATTTAATTTTGTTCCCCATCTATTGAGAAGTTTATGTTGAAATCGCCTCTTGAGGAATTGAGTTCAGTTATGAATCACAGTTATACTTAAATTAAGTCCCTTGATATAGTTAATATAATAGAATCTTTTAATTTTGGTGGAGTTTTGTTCTCTGAGCTGGATGGTTTGGTCGTGGAGCTTTCATCGTTCTTCTGAACGACATCATCAGCACAAACTTCAGATAGAAGTGAAGTGTTTGAATTTCTCCATATTTGTCTCAAAGCTTGTTCTGTGCACCTCGACGTTGATTGGTTCTTATTGACCTTAAATTTGTCGTTGTTTACTTCTTTGTATTGGTTGTGTCTCCCATTGTTTTGATTTTTGTTCTTATGTTTGTGCATGATTTTTCTGATTGGTTGATAAATTGGATTGATTTCAATATGCTTGTTGATTGCTGATTGACCTGAGTGCCAGACTTCTAAAAATTCTCTGGTGTTTTTGGAGTTTCCTCTGTCTAGGATTTCCACATTTTTCCAATCGAATGAGTGTCCGCAGTTGTCCACGTGTATTGATATAAGTGAAGAGATATCATGCCGTTTGACTGCTAATTGATGTTCATGTAGGCGAAGGTCCACGACAGTCCAAAATCTTTGAAAGGACTTGCACCTTCTACTTTTCTTTTAATATGTTACTTCATTTTATGCTTACCGAAGTTGTAGTAGCATTGTTTTTTCTAAACCTATTAAACTCTCTATTATAAAAGACCAATATTTCTTTTATTGCAAACAATGATACTTAACGCTTCGAGTGTTGTTCCCCTATATATCGTCAATTCATTCAAGGCTTGTACTAGTCGTAATGTTAGTACTCATTCTCGACTTTAGTCTTGGAAACACCAATATCTAATTTTTGTGGTTTTTATAATGTTGGGGAAGCTTTGTTTAATTAAACAAAGCACTATTCACAAGTTTATATTCCCATAGAATGTACATGATCAGTTTGCTTGAATGGATTAAAGTTTTGACTAAACAGCCCACTGTTCTTAGTTTATTCAGCATATAAATATCGGTATTAAATTACTGTTGTTTCAAAATATGTGCATAAATTCAGAGACCTTTTAACTGTAATGTAGATTTTTATGTTGGTGATTTAACTGATGTTGTGCATTCCTTCTATGTTTTTAAAAAATTTCACAGTCGATATGTTCGTTGGTTTCCTGTTGACGGAATACCTGGAGCTAAGTTGCTACTAAAACATGCAATAGATAATTGGAGGCAATGGGTCCAGAAAATTGAGGATTGGCAAAATCCTGTTCTTAACAACCAGTAAGTTTTTGTATTCTCTCATGTTAGATATCGGATCTTGGTGGAGAACGTCTAAAGTAACGTTTTCTGTTGTTTCCGCGCTTATCACGCCTATCTCATCTGTAAATGAATTGTTAAATTAAATTAAAATAAATTATCTCGACTTTGTTAAGGTCACTGATATATTGCTTGATTTTTTATTTCCCTTCAAGTTTCTGAACTTGGGAAACAATTTTTTCATCAATTGGTATCATTTCTGCTCATAGATGCGTTGATTTATTTATTTTAATTTATTTTAACACATAGATATTGGTACAAGGAGGCACCAAATACATATGCGTCACACAAATCTCATTCGATAAGTGTGAGTGCTGTGATACTGCCCGAGTGCCCAAACCGAAGCAGGTGGTTTTCTTAAGGGGCCACTCCCCGAGCCTTCGACCTGAAGGTCTGATCCACAAGGCAGTGGAGCATCGTAAGGAGATGCAGTCCCATGGAAGCCGGTGACCAACGATTGGTTCATACGCTATTTGTTCCCCCAGGATACTGGAGCTCATATGCACCATTGATTTGGAATCCGGTTAAGGCGCCGGACATTCGCTCTTCGTCCTCTCATTTTCTTAAACAACACCCCCGCCACGAGAAGGCAATGAGTAGGACTTCCCTGGCAGAGGCTATATACGCGTGGCTATGTGAGAGCATTTCGAGAGGGAGAGCGGACTCTTCCCACTCGGCCGTACCAGGGGATTCGGGGGTTGAAGCATTATTTGTGTGTGCTGGAACCATTGAATGATCAATGTTAAGGTAAAACTCTAAGTATTAGGTTAGAATGCCACATCAGTTAATGAAATGAGATTGGTTTCATTCATTTGGTAGTTTTTCTTTGGTTCTGAATTACTACAGATATTATTTATTGTTGATATTTCACTTCCTCTTGTTGTAACAGTCTTGTTCTGACGTACGTTTGAGCATGATTCCATGTTGTTTATATGAACCTAATGGTTGCATGTAATTTTTTGGTTAATACTTGTACAAGATGACGATGCTTAAATAAGTAGTCTTACTTTTAATTGTATGTCTTGTTTCAAACTATTTATTCATTGTTGTTGCGTGTTATTAACTCTCTGATGTCATATTAATTATTACCACGAATTATTGGTTTGATGTTCTACATACTTCGGCGATATATGTATTGATGTATTATGGATCATAATCAGTACGTCATGGTTCTTCTAAGCAATTATTAATTCTAAATTATTTAATTTTCTGCTCTCCTCAATTGACTAAGTATAGCTCTCATGATAATGGGAAATGTAATGAATAGTTCGTGAAAAACTGTATTTAGTTAAGCAATATATATTTAAGTACTCTCGTAATTTTAATATTACTGTATTGTGATTCATAAACATTTTTTTCTTATGTCATAAATGTCATCACAACTGTAACCATTGGGTATTGCGTTCTATATCTTTGATTTCATGACATTTTGTTCTGCTTAATAAAATCATTTCTTTATCCCATACAGATCGCTTCCAAATTGGTATAAGTCTGCTTTATTCAATGAATTATATTATCTTAGTGATGGTGGAACTGTATGGCTAGATCCAATTCAAGTTGATTGTTTTAAATCAGATCTGCTAAATTGTATACCACTAGACCTTGTACGAAGTTACAAAAATGGTATAGATCTAGACCCGTATAAGTTAACTGGTCGCAAAATTAAAACTCCAACTACAGTAACTGAAGATATGAAAGTCGACTCTTGGGATCATCGTGCTAGATTATCACGTGAAATAGGTTTATTTGGATATCTTGAAGGTAGGTAATAATTTAATTGTTTACATGAAACGATTTTTCACAGTTGTTTTCAGAATATTTACTTTTAGATCGAGTGGGAGGCAAGAACTTCTGAGGTTTATATTAAGCATCACCCTGTGTATTTAAGATTACTTGTTTAATCGTCTACTCGCTCACTAATTAAAAACGTACCATTCACCTAAGTTGATTTGTTAAGAATGAGTTTCTAACATATGTTATGTAAATTTCTTAGGAATAATTCGCATTCGCTTTTAAAAGTGGTGGGATTTATATTGATTCATGTGTCTGTTATTGGATGTTGAAATTTACTTTCCGCTGACAATTCGCACATTTCACATTGATTTGCTGTAATGTGTCTTAAATTACCCTTTTAGAACCAACTAGATTTTGGTTTTTGGTTTCCACTTCAATCAAACCATTTGTTTCACATTTTAACCTGCTACTATGCTATAAATGCGTTTCACTAAGTGATTTGTTATCTGAACTTTGCGTACATTCAACAAAGTTACGTCCACTAGAATTCTAGCCATCACTGCAAGCTTCCTCAGTAGTCTGAAGTTCTTATTACGTGTTTATTTGTTGATCAATGACAAAATGTCATTTTAAAACGATGTTCAATAATCTCATACAAGAGATGAAGAAAATAATAAAATAAACGGCTAAAACAAACTTAAAAATTCTGTAACATATTCTGAAGAAATATCACCTCTAAAGTTGAATTCTCATAAATTTCATGAATATTATTTGTACAATAGCACATTAGTGGCATTCTCAATCGATTTTTAAAATTATTCTCCAGCTGGTTCAAGTTTTATGCTCGTCTAATTATTTTTATCAGAATGTGTTGTGTGGAGATTTTTAGAAATTTTCACAGATTGAACTCATGAGTCAGTTGAAGCTAGACCACCATTGAAAACCTGGAAGCACTGGACGGCCGTTTCGTCCTAGTATGGGACTCCTCAGCAGTGCGCATCCACGACCCCGCACCACCCGGGGCTCGAACCCAGGACCTACTGGCTTTTTAGATTCTTCATTTCATTTTATATTTTAGGTCATGAATATCGAATGTACAATACATATGATGTACATCATGATGCATCATGGGCTTTAATCAAATTATGGCCTAAAATACAACTGGCTTTAAATTATGATTGTGCCGATTTGGCTATCGCTGAAGACTCAACTTCAGTCTATTACATTTATAATGGGAAAAAGCTATCCAGAAGTTCCGAGTGTGCGGTTGTTCATGATTTTGGTGATCCGGAAGATGAACCTTGGCGATGCACTAACGCCTACATAATGTTTCCTACTGATAAATGGAAAGATTTGAATTCGAAATTCATCTTACAAGTTTGGCGCGATTGGCGTATTACACAAGACCATCAATATTTATTGTATATGCTTCCTATCGTTTTGGTAAGCTTTTCCTGTGCATATTCACTGTGTATTTACTAGTAGCAATCGAATAAAAATACAGTATTTAGTAATGGATTTATTTTAAGTCATGGAATATTTTGCATAATAATCTCAGTATCTATTCAACATACCGGTAATGATAAAAAAGTGATGTTTGACACCACTTATCGTCATATTCTTCTACTTTTTTATCAGCACAGTTTACAGGTCTAATAATAAGGACATTTATTCGTTTTTTTCATAAATGTGTTCACGAGATACATGGCTTTGAACCACAATCTAAGGGTAAGAGCCAGCAATACTGCTCACTTGCCCAAACTGAAGTAGGCAGGGATAGTTTTCGAACCTAGGACTGGGTGAATGATAATTAAATGCCTTAGTAAATGAACCACCACGCCACTAACTGCAGAATTACCTTAAAAATGGTAAAAAATTAATTACTAAATGTTATATTCATCGTGTGAATCAACTTTCCTTTCAGAATAAATTTAGTTGTGAATGCTTTAACACTTTTATTGTCCCAAATTATCCCATACTTTTGTAATTACATACTAAACGTAATCCTTGCAAGACACCAAAATTTGTAATTAGATTTCACTATAAACAAAGGTCACATATTACTATGAAATACAAAACTAATTTAAAACAGAGGTCTTATTTTACTAACGAATGATATTTCAAACTATAACAATTTATAATAATCATCCCTCTTTTAGTTTCTATTCGTTTCTCATTCTCTTGCTTCCCAACAAAACATCATACTCACATTCTTCTAATGCCGATTATAAGAAGGTGTTTTTAACTATACTTAGGAATTGTCATAATACATTAGGACAAATAAATTTGTCTGCAGGTAGTTAAACTTCATAAGATCTGAATAAATTTTAGAGCTTATTTGTTGTTTCGATTTCCAGTAAAAATCTGTTGGTCTTTTGACTAATGAGATAAATTACTTACGTGAAGCTGTATTAATATTTATTAGTAATGAAATTACTTGAACTATTTCAGTCAGTTATCATCAACATCGGGCCCGGTATATATGTTCTGTGACTCATGCTTCCGTACTTCATTAGCGCGACGAGATAAATGTAAGATGAAAAACAAAAAAGATTGAAATAATATTGCGCTAATGATAGTGAGAAAGACTGAACACTGGGAATTCGGTTCGAATGGACAAAATGGAAGGATTACTGGAATTTAGGATCGAGTAAAAAGTAATTCGTAAATGAACTTGTATTATTATGATCGATCCTGAACCATGTCACTAAAACAGCGTGGTCTGAGTCATTTACCAGGTACAGATCCGTGTACTTAATTCTGAGCTACACTGTTGATGTAAGATTTAGTGATGCTGCCCGTTTGCCAAAACCAAAGTAGATGTGGAGGGGTTTAATCCTGTGACTTACTGGCTAAAAGTCAAACCTTTTAATTATTGAGCCACCTTTTCACATTTAGATAGCCGACCAATATACGTTGTTGGCATTTTTTTTATTGTTTATGGTTCGTTGATCTCTCTTAATGGTAGACATTTATCTTGTCAGAAAAACATTACAAAATTATTTAAGAAACAGATAAACACATGGTGAGTGTTACATTCTTATTCAAACAGACGAAAATGAACGTTAAAGTATCTGATTTAATATGGAATATAGTTAATTGTTTGTTCTAAAACAACATTATGAAAAATGATCAAATCCATTTACTTAATTCTTATAAACTATGTATATTTGTAAATTCACTTGATATTATTTGTTTGTATCTTCCGATTGTTGTTGATACAAGCAAATAATATCAAGTGAATTTAAACCTCAGCCCATTGTACAAGCAGGAGGCTATCAGGACTCAGTAGCCAAGTGGATAACGCGATAGTATTTGAAGCGAACGGTACTGGGTTCGAGGCCCAGAGTAAAAATTAGCTCTGAGATGCACGTACATCCAACTGATGAGTCCTAAATAGGACGAAACGCATGTCTTGGATTCCACTGCTAGCCATCACCTATCTTCGCTTATGTATATTTGTTGTCATAACTATAGAATTTAATTAGAAAGCCAAGTAGTACTTCATATTGATGGAAAACATATGGTAAATATGTACATAATTTACAAACTAACAAAAGAACAATTTAGGAAGTAATCGTAAATCAGTTTACAGGTGTGATTCGCTCAATTTTTCTAGTTTATCTTATGTTTTTCGATAATGTTTTACAGAGATCTTCACAATTTCGCATGCGTATTTCGTTTCAGCTGCACAAAAGCTTTTATTTGATCATTTATTGTTTATACTTTTTGTGTAAAAACATAGGTAGACCTGTTTGTACGTCTTCAAATTTTGTATTTATTTTTGTCACAAGCTAATATTATTGTACACCACTGAGCGTTTAACAACTTCCTATTTCGGAACCCCACATTCAAGAACTTTACTTAATGATCACGTCTCATTGTGAGCCAAATAATATCAACCCTACTGAGTTTGGATCTAATGATCCTTATTTTGAAATTCAGTCGGTTTGTGATATATATCTGTTTAATACTCCTTGGTTCTCAATAGTTCTCCAGTTGAGACAAGATCATCATGAAGTTTATTTTTGGAATATTTAAAAGTTTTTGCGAAACTAACTTAATTCATTATTTAGTGTACATTGACAGTTTATCGAAATAATCTTCAGTATGATCCCTTTCTTAACAATACATATATGAATTTTCTTTATATACAACGGTTTAATCTTCCACGTAACTTCTGTAATCGTCCTCATAATAAGTGTTCACCTCAATTTTGAAACAAACTTTCACTTCACCGCTGATTTATTTGTTGAAAGTAATTATTACAGTGTAATACTTCTACTTGGCTGGTCATTAGAGGTCATGTTAACTTTTGTTGTTGTAAACTTGGCAAAATAATTTATTGCTTCCCTCTTTACTGTTGACATTTGAGGTTATGAGGTGATGGAGATTTGTTGCTCAGGTAGATGATTCTGATAGGGTTTTATTCTCTGAGCTGGTTGGTTTGGTTGTGACATCATCAGCACAAACTCCAGGTAGAAGCGAAGTGTTCGAATTTCTCCACATATGACTCAGAGCTTTTCCTGTAGACCTCGATGTTGGTTGGCTGTTGTTGACCTGTCATTATTTACTTCTTTATTTTGATGGTATCTCCGATCAGTTTAGTTTTCGGTCCTATATTTGTCCGTAATTTTCCTGATTGGTTGATATATTTGGATCGATTTCAATGTGTTGGTTGATTGCCGGCTGATCTGAGTTCCAAGCTGCTAAAAATTCTCTGGTGTTTGCCTCTGTCCAAGATCTCAAAAGTTTTCCAGTCGAATGTGTATCCACATACATTGTTATAAGTGAGGATATGTCGTGGCGTTTGACCGTTAGTTGATGTTCATGAAGGCGAAGACGAAGAGGGCGTCCACTTTGTCCGATGTGTTTTTCGCAGTTGGAACAATTTATATTGTAGATTATGTTCAGTTTTTCTTCTTTTGTCATTTCACCCTTTGGTCTGCATAGAAGTGATTGCACTAATTTTGTTGATTTTTGTGCTAAACCTATTCTGAAAGGCTTCAACAATCTCATTGTAGTTTTTGATATGCCTTTTATATACGGTAGGATGATCCGTTTTTCGGTTTTTGTATTTGACCTTGCTTCTGATTATGCGTTTGGCTGGTAATTTTTGATGAAGTTGATTGGATAGCCATTCTTTTGAAAGATGGTCTTCAGGTATTTTTCTTCATTTTTTCGCGCTGTCATTGTGTTGCAGTGTGTACTCTGTTGAGGGTAATGTCCTTAATATCTGACTCCAAATAATGATATTCCGTAACTGAGTATTTAAGGTAGGCTTAATCTCCTAGTAGAATTACGGATTTACTCGAGATTATTAAGAAGCCTGAACACCAGTTATGGAGATAGTTTATTATTAATGAATAATGATAATCCACAAGCGTATTGTGAGCAAGCACACGATGGGAACAGAGAGTGTGTGAGTTTGTTAAAAATCCATATATATTTGAGGGTTAATCGGGTGTAGATAAATTATCGATTATCTGCACGTTGAAACCAATAGGAAAATAGTTTAAAAGTTAATGTACAGACATGCATTCGATCATACACACCGAAATTAACATAGTGAATTAAGAGTCTAAGTTACAATGAATAGACAGATGATACCGTGGCCAAATGGGCTTGCCACATAAGCTCCCATCCAGAACATTGATGTTTTTATGTACCAAAAAAAAATTGGATTAACATCTATGTTCGACAAAGAGATAAAGAACGGAACTGTTTTTAAAATAAAAGTACAACTCAATATGATGAGTAAGCGTAAAACTGTAATAACAGCTTGTGTGTTGAAACGTTTCATATCATGTATATACAAGTGTATATTTAACATTAATGAATTGTATAAAGTTAAAATGTAAGCATAATGATGATCCGTGGGGCCAATAAAAAAAATAGTAATCAAAATAAAATAGGATTTTTATGTGTTATAAGAGTAGTCTCAGGATTTGGTCTAGATAAATATGGTGGTTGCTACATACCTATCTGGCCAATGTACTCTCCTTCCTGATCTTGTTGTAGTTTGTGCTGCTGCTGAATTTCGATTTGAAGTGTTGCTTGTTGCAGGTAGTTTGAATGGTGCTTGCTCTGCTGCAGGTTTAGATGGTTTTACAGTTGTCTGTTTTTCAGTGTTCTCTAAAAATGCTGGTTTTACTCTATCGATGCTAACTGTATCATGTTTACCTGCTCTTTCCACTGTAACCGTTTTAGTGTCCTTTCGGATGATTTTAAAAGGGCCGTCGTAAGGAGTCTGTAACGGCTGTCGTACTCTATCATTTCTCACGAATACATGTGAGCATTTGTCTAGTTCGTTGGGTACGAATGATTTCACCTTTTGGGTTCGTGGTTTAACGGACCTAATGGATTCCATCTGCTGTTTTAATTGTTGTACGTAGTTGGTTATATCTGCTGGAATATCTGTTGCACGGTCAAAAAATTCACCAGGCAAACGTAATGTTGTTCCATAAACCAACTCAGCAGCACAACAACCGAGGTCTTGTTTGATGGTTGAGCGAATGCCTAATAGTATCAAAGGAAGCTTGATATCCCATTTGTAATCTCCTCGTGCGGCCGTCAAAGAGGCTTTTAACTGTCTATGGAATCTTTCTATCATTCCATTAGCAGACGGATGATAAGCAGTGGTTCTAATTCTCTTTATACCGAAAGTATCTGTAAGTTGCTGAAATAGTTTGCTTTCGAATTGCGTTCCACGGTCGGTCGTAATTGTTGTAGGGACACCGAAGTTTGTAATCCAGTGTTTCACCAGCTTCTTCGCCACTGTTGATGCTGACGTGTCTTTTAACGGAACAGCTATGGGCCATCTCGTAAATCTATCTATACATGTTAATATATGCGTGTAACCATTAGAAATCGGTAACGGTCCGACAATGTCGATATGAATATGGTCGAACCTAGCGCTAGCGGCGGGAAAAATTCCGGTAGGAGATATGATGTGCCTATGTACTTTTGACTTTTGGCATTGGACGCATTCCCGTGACCATTTTCTTACGTCTTTGTTTATTTTTGGCCATACAAATCTATCTGTGACAAGCTTTACAGTGGCTTTTATACCTGGATGGGATATATTGTGTAATTTCTCAAAAATATTTCGTCTCATACCGAAAGGTACAAAAGGGCGAGTTTTGCCTGTTGAGGTATCACAAGTTAAGGTGTCCTTGTTGTTTATGGGGATGTTTTGGAATAATAATTTCGTTTCCTTAGACTGCAAAAGCTTTTGTAGCTCCGTATCGACCTTTTGATGCTTTGCCATTTCTTGATAGTCTATATCAGGGATCGAGAAGGTATTGATATTTAATCTCGATAGTGCATCTGCTGCCTCGTTTGCATTGCCTTTAATATAGCGTATATCAGCTGCAAATTGTGAAATGAATTCTAGTTGACGAATTTCGCGCGGACTATATTTATCATGATTGTGCATCAAGGACTTAGTTAGGGGTTTGTGATCAGTATATATCGTGAAAGAATTGCCTTCTAACATGTAGCGAAAGTGTTTGATGGCTAAGTAGATAGCCAACAGTTCTCTACTGAATGTGCTATATTTCGTTTGCGTTGCGTTCAGCTTTTTTGAGAAAAATGCAAAGGGTTGCCATTGTTCATTGACACGTTGCTGAAGTACAGCACCTACTGCTACGTTAGAAGCGTCGGTCATTATTGCTAAAGGTGCATCAACCTTTCGTCGTGCGAGTAATGCCTCTGTGCTTAAAGCGCTTTTCAACTGATCAAATGCTTGAATTGCTTGCGGTGTCATTGCTAATGATTTAGCTCGTCCCCTTAATAAATCAGTTAGTGGTTTTGCTAAGTCTGCACATTTAGGGATAAAACGTCTGTAAAAGTTTATCATCCCAAGGAAACGTCGTAGTTTCTTGAATGAATCAGGCAAAGGATAATTTTTGATAGCTTGTGTTTCCTCAGGAACTGGTTTAATGCCTTGCTTATCAAGTACGTGACCTAAAAAGGTGAGGGATTGTTTTCCGAACTCACATTTGTCAGGATTGACCGCTAACCCATACTCGTTTAGCTTCTCAAAAAGCATTTTCAGATGAGTTAGATGTTCATTTTCATCTTTGCTTGCTATAAGTAGGTCATCTATGTAAGCATACACAAACGGTAAGCCCCGTACCACTTGGTCAATAAAACGCTGGAAACTTTGTGCAGCATTCCTTAATCCGAAAGGCATGCGGACGAATTCGTATAGTCCAAAGGGGGTAGTAATGGCTGTTTTAGGAACATCGTCTGGATGAATCGGAATGTGATGGTAAGCACGGACGAGATCAATTTTTGAAAAGATCGACACGTCAGATAGGCTATGAGTGAAGTCATGCAGATGTGGGAGAGGATATCTATCTGGTATGGTCCGGCTGTTGAGAGCTCTATAGTCACCGCATGGTCTAACTTCGGAAGAGTTTTTCTTAGGTACCATATGAAGCGGTGATGCCCACGGACTATCGGAGGGGCGTATGATGCCCAACTCAATCATTTTGTTGAATTCGTTCTTTGCGATAGCCAGACGAGAGGGATCAAGGCGTCTTGGACGTGCGAACACAGGTGGACCCTCTGTCTTTATGTGGTGTACGACGGTATGCGTCGGTTTGTCGTGTTTGAAACTCGGTCGTAATAAATCTGGAAACTGATTAAGTAAATTGACGTATTTGTCGTTCTCATGATGAGGTTTAACTAATAAATGTATGGAAGTCTCATTTGATATAATTCCTCTAATTTCCTTACTCTGTTCGGCAAGGACAAGTTTCCTATTTCTGACATCTACCAGTATTTTGTGGAATTGCAGAAAATCAATGCCGATTATAGGAACGAGGACGTCCGCTATGATGAAACTCCAGGAAAAAATAGATTTAGGACCGAAATTTAATTGCAACCGCCTTTTTCCGTACGTCTTGATGTCAGACCTGTTTGCAGCTTGTAGTTTTAGTTTGGGGTCAGGTGTGTTTTTCTCGAGTGCAGTAGGTGGTACTACACTAACCTCTGCCCCAGTGTCGATTAAAAACTGTGTGCCGGTTCTTTTGTCTGTAACATATAATAGACGACTGTCTTGAAAGTTGTGGTCAGTGAGTGCAGTCGTCATTAACCTACGGTCTTGACGTTCCTTTTTCTGTGTGCTTGCAAAGTTACAAGGCGGAGTACATTTTCTAGCTTGTTTGCCATATGTTCTATGGTACCAGCAAATGTTGTGTCTAGTAGTGCTTGGACTACGTCGTCTACGGCTTGTGGATGTTCCTCTACGCTTGCTGTGGGAGGCATTCAATAATTGGATCTGAGCTATCTGTTTCGTAAGGGTATCAACTGATCGTCGTAACTCGGCGATCTCGTCAGCTGAGCTTGATTGGATTTGAGATACAAGGTGAGTCTTGGACCGTTCGTAAATTCTGTCGGCTATGTCTGCTAGTCTATCAAAATCAACATCTTCGTCTCCAATTGCTAGTATCTGTTGAATGTTTTGAGGGAGACGTCTGAGCCACAATTGATATAGTAGACGTTTGTCTACTGTACGATTTCCTAATAAGTTTGTCATGTGGCGTTTTAACTGTGACGGTGTATTGTCACCTAGCTCTACGTTGGCTAAAAGTTGATCAATTGTCTGTTGGTCGGTGAGAGATGTGACACGAATGACCTCTCTTTTTAGACAATCGAATGGTGAGTCAGGATCCGGCTTAAAAATGACATCCGGCACTTGTTCAATGACGTCATCTGGCAGCAGTGAATTCGCATAACTAAATTTCGTACTCTGGTTTGTGATTTTGTTTGCAACAAAAAAGCTTTCCAAACGAGCAAACCAGAGTTCAGCCTTTCGTGGATTAAAAATGGGTAAAGGTACAGAGATGGCACCCACGGAAATAGATTTAGATGAAAGGCTTAACGAATTATCAAGTGCCATGATACGAAAAAGCAATAGTAATAATAAGCTGAGGATTGTAATATACAATATGAAGAGAAATCAAAAATAACAACAAAAAAAATATATATAAGACTCACCGAAAAGAAAAATTGTCACTTTGGGTATATGTATGAGAATATACAGTAATAATTCCAAAGGGAAAATATTATGAGTGAATTTATTATGACTGTCAATGGATTGTTATTAATTATAATAATAATTCCAATATGAAGTTCTTTATGATACTCTTGAGGAGAATGCAGCAGACTTTGGAGGAAAATGGTGCGCGTTCTAAAGGCGGGTCACCAATATGTTGAGGGTAATGTCCTTAATATCTGACTCCAAATAATGATATTCCGTAACTGAGTATTTAAGGTAGGCTTAATCTCCTAGTAGAATTACGGATTTACTCGAGATTATTAAGAAGCCTGAACACCAGTTATGGAGATAGTTTATTATTAATGAATAATGATAATCCACAAGCGTATTGTGAGCAAGCACACGATGGGAACAGAGAGTGTGTGAGTTTGTTAAAAATCCATATATATTTGAGGGTTAATCGGGTGTAGATAAATTATCGATTATCTGCACGTTGAAACCAATAGGAAAATAGTTTAAAAGTTAATGTACAGACATGCATTCGATCATACACACCGAAATTAACATAGTGAATTAAGAGTCTAAGTTACAATGAATAGACAGATGATACCGTGGCCAAATGGGCTTGCCACAACTCGCCCTCTTGAACAGAGTTTATACGCAGCTGATGTTGTGAGATCTTGGGATGTTGCTATTGTAATTGAACCAAGCTTAGCAAAGGAAACTATCCCTGCTTCTCACGAACGACGCAAATCTCGCAAAGTACACGAAGCTTCAAAGTCAAAGTTTACTGGAGCTCATCGATTTAGGCTTAACAACATATCTTCAATGAAGGGTCAGAAACTCAACGATAAGACAAGCTTAACTATTTCGATGCCTCCCAGCCCTTCAAGCTAGAGGGAGAAGACCAGGTTTGCAAGAGGGAAAGGTATATTGCACAAGCAACCAAAAGCACGGACAAACCAATGGCATTTAAGGTCCTTTCAAGTGGAAAATACGATCTGAAAGTAAAATTGGACGCTTTTGGCACGACAACGAGAACTTCAAATTTCCAATATAAAATTACAGAAATAAGACGTTCACCAAGTGATTTCTGGGAATCCAGCATCGCCAACTACAACATGTATGAAATATCTTGCGAAGCACAAAATTTCTAAAAGTTTTTTTACTCTATAGCAGTCTATTAATTAGAAAGTATAATTGTTTCAGTCGTATTTCAGTAATAAGTCTATTTTAAAATGAAAGGAATGCAATAGACTACTTTAAACAATCCTCATCCGACTTTTCGTGAATTCACTGCTGATTTTGGAGTTTTATTTTAAATTTATTTGTCTGACTGACCTCAAACTGTTTTTTGAATATTCACCTCAAAACAAAGAGCATTGTAGTATAATTAATTTTCTGAGATCTGATGTTTTTTGGTCACCAAATTTTTCCAACCTTTTGTTGTTTGAAAGCTGTTCAGTAAGTTTTATTTTTATGTTTATATTTATCAAAAAACACTAATTTATTGCGTCAAAAATTTCCTACTATTCAGAGTTTTATTTAATAAAATCTTGAGATTAACCTTTAGTTGATAACTCTAATTTCTTTTCTATTTTTATAGAGAATTCTAAGGAAGTCTTTGGTAGCATGGGATTCTGATGATGACGGACTAATTGAGAATTCAGGCTTTCCTGATCAAACATATGACGTATGGACTGCAAAAGGCTTAACGTAAGTTCCCAATAACACTTACTAAACCAGTCCTCATTCCCATGTGAATCATTTTCAGACTTAACAATAAAGTATTTCATTTCTAATAATTTCTAGTGTTTGAAATTAATTAGACGTAATTTGTTTGTCCTCTTTTTGGAAATTCTCATCTGTATACAATTAAAGTTGATGATAAAACAAAATATCCACCCACTGTCCAGTAGATGTAATTGGTTATCCAGCATTTTCAATTCTTAATGAAGAACTACTTACAAATGGAATGTAATTTTTAAAAACCTCATCTTACTATTCTCAAACTAAAATATATTACTACTCCTATCATTCTTTTTGTAACTAATTAATGATTCATTTCAAACCTTGCAAAATGGTTAATTTAAATATTTCTGAAGTTATTGTATGATTTATATTGGTAATCATAACGTGTAAATTTAGACATATTAATGAATTAAGATAACAGTGAGATTTTTAACATAATTTTTTCAAATGATGCCTGTAGTATGTGATACAAATGTACTCAATAATTCATGAAATTTGTATATTTATTCACCAGTTACACCTGTTACAGCTCCTGTAAGCTCATATAGCTGAGAGGTACTAAAGTAGATAAAATAAGGAATAGGTTACTTTCATCACATTGTATCATGTTTTAGCACTGCTAGGCTTACTTGTATAAAATCAATAAAAGAAATTGACTTCTGGAATTTTTAAATTTGCTAAATCCTACCATAATAGAAAAGCAGAATAATCAAGTGGTTTTTACATTTTCTTCCTTTCATTTCCGTTTGGTATTATCAACATAGTTCCTTTCGACGAGACTGTAATTTATGGACGAACCAATCGGATTTAGGATAACAGGTCTCGAATTTGGCATGAAATTCATCCATTCATTTGGCTAAATAGCATTTTGGCATTTTAGCTGATGTCAGTTCGTGATGAAAACCCTAAATCTAGTTCCTAACTTTAACCACCAACTGTAAATCGTAATTTTAATTCCTCACGCTGATATATAACCCTCCTTTAGTTCTAGTTGGTGTGTGGACATTCTCAAAGTCACTTTTGCGTCGCTCATAGGTCGTCTATAAATTATAGTCTCACCTTTCTTCCCTCAATTTTATGGAGCTGAAAAATGTGACTCTTGATCTTCATACGTAACATAATTCTACAAGGCTGATGTGTGTACCAACAGTTTCATTAAGCGAAAACAAGTTTTAATTGGACAGACCATTTGAATTTGCATAGATTCTTATATAATCATAGAGATCAATGAAATCTCAGTTTGGAAAGTTCGCTTGGGATTTTCGGATACATATTGTGTCCAGTTATCGTATCTGAATTCTTGTCAACGTTTATGTACGTAACAACAAAATTAATTATCTTATACGATAACCTGCAATAACTGAGAGTAATAGAGTGCAATAATCAGATTTCCCACAATATTTGTTATGTGTGATAAAACCACCCTGTTTGATATATCAGTTTTAGGTGTGGATATTTTCTAGAGAGCGATGGTTGTTTTATCGAATACTCACATTTACGCTTATTTTAGTTGTTTGAGGTGTATGTTACGCATAACTAATCATTACTTACTTCGAATTGTGATGGCTAGATCCAAATTATGACATATTGGACCATACGCATTCATTTCTTACGTCCTCAGTCCGTGACCCCTCCGTACATATCTGTTGTTTGTTCTATAACATACATATTTTTGTTGATTTTATTTTTTCAGGTCTGTTTCGAGATGTGAATGTCTAGTTTGACACATTATCGTACAAAGTTATACTTTTTTATTGTTCTTTCAAAATGTGGAGGTTTACCTGGATAATTTGCTACAAATGAGTTCACTAACGAACCTACTTATCCGTGATTATTAGTAGTATAGTATGCAGTCTTAGAAAATTTAGAGATATCGACTTCAGATCGTTATACTTCATGTGCCACTTTATCTAACAGAAACTAAAAAGGATCATCAATGTGTAGAAACGGTTGATTTAGTTTCAGAGCCAGACACTGAAATATTTAGCAAACTGTTCAAATGGTTTGTTATTTTTCAAAAATATGAATGAATAATAACTGTTGGATTGTGTGAACTCTGAAGATGTCTGATTCATCCTTAACGAAATTAATAGCTCTACCAGACATTTATATTTTGGAATATTGGTAGGTTTCGATGTGATTTCTACGAGGTCATTCAATTATAAAACCTTGTGTTTAGCTACCTTTCAGCCTGATTATAAGACACACCACCTGTATTTTCTAGCCTTTTTAATTCCCCTATTATTGGAATGATTTTTAGAAGGACTATGGTGTTGTTTTGTTCATCTCGATAACTGTTTCAGTCATGAAGCCTTAATCGTCTTGCCATAAATGATTATGAAGATAGATTTCAATTGAATGAAAATTCATTGTACTTATATAAAATGTGACTAATTGTTATTAGTAAATCTGATGCCGGTTTCAGACATGTATTTGAATTATTTGTTAAATCTAGAATCAACATATTTTTGGGTGTTTTTAGCACACCAAACTTTCAGGAGAGTCGTTTTCCTCTTTCTCTTTTAGTAAAATAGCTGTTTCAAGCATTCGTATGACGTATCCGCTCCTTTATGTGTCACATTAAATTGCATGAGCTTTTATTCCACACATCAAACGTAACCGTTGTTAATATGATAGCTTTCGGGATATTTTAGAACAATACATAGTGTTCTTGTATGTTTAACTTATTCGTAATTACTTAGATACGAACTATTTAAATGATTGACAGGATTTTACTCGTTTGAGTATTTTTGTGGATAGTTAACGTTTTGAGTTGACTATACTGTAACACCAGGCATAACTGACACTTTTGTAACTAAATTAAATATTATCTGAGTTTTTTAATGCTTTTGTACCATTCTTTAGTGCTTACACTGGTGGCATATGGCTCTCTTGTCTATATGCTACATTTGATATGCTCTCTTGGTGTTTAAAAAGTGATTCACCTGTATATGATCAAATAGTTAATAATACAGATGATACTCAACGTTCTTGGAGTGAAGTTAAAGATGAAATTCAAGCATTATTCACTAAAGCACGTGATTCATACAATGCCAAACTATGGACAGGTAGATAATTTTAATTTTCAAGTAAAATAATTTCTCTACTTTACTGAAGAAAAATATTCGATCTAAAGTGGTTGTTAGTTTCTCAGTCTTGACTAAATACTCTCTACACTGTTAGGCTGTATGACTATCATAACTCATCTGTATTATTGTTTTTGATTATGCGACTTGAGAAGTAGACTTATGATTTATAAATTACTTAATTCCAAAAATAGTACCACCTACAGAGTGTATATATTACTGTACACCTGTTTGTATTCATAACTAAGGATTATGATTAGTTAAGGGATTATCTTTAAAGATTCATGTATTGAACGTGAAGTTTTTTAAGACTTTAATTTATTGTATTTCTAGTTCTCTGCTAATCACTGTATTTTAAAATCATATTTTCACCACAGAAAATGTCTTTTTATCTCAACATACTGACTTACCTTTCTTATTCATTTATTCTTTATGATTTAGTGTATATAAAATGTAGACTAATATGGTAGGTATCATCACCACGATTTGACTTGATAATTTCAAATAAATTGAGCATTGGTTAGATTGTTATCAATAAAAATAATGTACTTGTAACATCCCAGTTAGTAGGAAAATCAAATTGTGTTATTTGCAAATTAGAGAGGTCATTTAATAAAGTTCAGAGTGATTTGGAGTAAAGTGTCCAGTCACAATTAGCATAATAGTAATATAGCACAAATGAAAATGCAAAAAATCGTGTGAATAAAATGCATAGTAGGAGAATTTCATCTTGTCGATTGAGATAACAATGATAATAATAATAATATTGTTGTGTGAATATAATATGTAATAAAAGGGGGGTTATCATGGTAATTACGATAAATAAATAAAAAGATTCCATGTCAATTGGGAATGATGGATATGAAGATTAAGATAGATGTCATAAAAAAACTGGAAGGGGGTAAGGGATTTATAATATTCAGTTTATGTATCCGGTGATTAAATAGTAGTTGCTTTGGCGGTAAGATATAACTAAGAAACGATATGTCTGTTTTCAGTTCTAGAAACGTCTAAGGAAAGTTTTAAATAGACGCAAGAAGTCCGGGTTTTATTTTCTAACATATGAAGAGATCACGCTTATTGTTCTGGATAATAATCACTGCGTAAAAATTACATGTCTTTTATATATAGAAGGCAATAATTTTACAAAAAATATAAATCCTATCCAACAGTTTACAAAAATCTCCAGAAGTAATCGACTTTCGTTTCTCTGTCAATAAAATAAAATAAAATGCTGAAGTATGTTTAGCAAATGTAGTTGGTGTGTTCACTGCTGCAGTCAAAAAAAGATACGTAAAAGATAGATTGAATGTGATTCAACATATCAGTCTATCTTTTATTCGTTGACATGTAAGCTATCGGTAACTATCCGTACCCTGTACTAAAAACAGAAATCAAGCTTCATCTACACCAATGAACATCTTATGAACTTGACGGATTCCTCTCTTATTGATAACTTCTGGACAATCCATTACAAAGTTATCCTAAATCTGTTCAAGGATTCCGACATGTATATATAGTCGAAACATTTGAAATCTGTGGTTTAAACCTGAGCGTGTCGACCGCTTCACTTATCTGGGAAGTTTCATCAGCCCTTGTGGTCTGGTGTGTGACGAAATCTCAGCACGGATACAGAAGACTCGACTAGTTTTTGCCAACTTGCGCCATTTATGGCGTAGGCGAGATATCCGTCTATCAACCAAAGGACGTGTTTACTGCGCATCGGTTCTTTCTGTTCTACTTTATGGCAGTGAAACATGGCCGGTAAGAGTAGAGGATATTCGTAGGTTACTACTATTTGATCATAGGTGTCTTCGAAACATTGCTCGTATATCATGGGACGATTGAGTAAATAACGCAGTTGTTAGGAAACGGGTACTAGGTAAGGATGGCAAATCAATTGATGAAGTAGTGAAACTTCATCAGTTGAGATGGCTGGGACACGTGGTACATATGCCCAATCACCGACGTGTTGGAGTAGGTTGGAAGAAAGGTAGGGGCGGCCAGACCAAAACATGACACAAATCCATGAAGTCACTGACAAATGGACTGAGTCATGTTGGCAGGTGTAGACTACTTGGTTGGGGACCGCGAGATGATAGCAACCGATGGTTAGAGACCCTGAATGACGTGGCTCAAAATTGTTCGCAATGGTGCAGGTGCCTCAACTCTTTGTGTTATCCTAAATTCTAATCTTCTGAATTCTTCATGTCCTTTTTTTCCAAATTTATTTCACTGTATTATACTCCTTGAGTAACATCTTCAAACCGCGATCTTACCGATTACTGCTCATACTCTTACTACCCCTCCCACTGTGGAATTTGAATCGACCACTGCATCTCTGTGCTAATGTGGTATGGCAAGTCGAACTGATGTACGTACGTACGAAGTTCTACGTTGTTACTGACTGAATGATTTAAACCCTACTTTTGTGCTCAAAACAGTATACGTGAGCTGTTTTTTCTCACACATACACCAGCATGGAGTGAGGCTGGACGCGATGTATTAGGGAACAATAGTGAATCAGTTGATGAGGTTGCAAATCTTCATCAACTGAGATGGTTCGGCAATGTGTTGCGTATGCCTGAACTCCGATTATGACAATTCGCAATGCTGACTAGTGTCGGAAACAGTTGGACGGAAGTCAGGGCTGCCAAACTAAAACGTAGCATTAGTCCTTGAAGTCAATAATTTCTAGTCTTAGTTATATTGGTAGGTGCGGATTACTTGGATGAGTTTCGCGTGACTATCGTAACCAGTTGTTGGAGACTGTGTGACATGGCTCAGAATCGATCACAATGGCGTAGGTGTATATACTCTCTATCTTCCCTTAAACTGTGAGATTAAAATTGCTTTATATCTTTCTTCCTACGAACTAATTTTTATTTCCTGTACTATCTCCTTATACACAATCTTCCTTTTATATATTACTACCACTAAAGTAACTACTTGTATGAATTCGGTGTTCATCTTATTGTGCTAATGAACGCCCTGGTATGGCCGAGAGCGGGGTGGGTTCGCCCTCCCTCTCGAAATACTCTCACACGGCCACGCGTATACAGCCTCTGCCAGGGAAGTCCTACTCACTGCCTTCTCGTGGCAGGGGTGTTGTTTACGAAAATGAGAGGACGAAAAGCGAATGTCCGGCGCTTTAACCGGATTCCAAACCAATGGTGCACATGGGCACCAGTATCCTGCGGGTACGAATGGCGTATGAACCAATCGTTGGTCACCGGCTACCATGGGACTGCATCTCCTTACGATGCTCCACTGCCTTGTGGGTTAGACCTTTAGGTCAAAGGGTCGGGGTGTGGCCCCCTAAGATAACCACCTGCTTCGGTCTGGGCACCCGAGCAGTAACGCAGCCCACACGCAATTAGTGAACTGAAATTGTGTGGCGCACTCTTGTGATAATGAAGTATGGCAACTTGGACCGATACATATGTATCCTACTTTGTAGCTGATTGACATGGAGTTTCACATTTACGTAAAATCACTTTCTTATGTAGTCAATCATAAAGAAAATAGTATATACTCTATCGACCGATATTATATTTCGTAAGGTGTATACAACTTTAATCATTAAAAGAAAAGATCTTACGATCATGTTCTAATTTTTGTTGTATTAGCACGTATATGTAGTTCGTGCAAATACTATTACTAACAGTATTAGTAGTAGCATTACTATTATTATTATAGCGATTGGTAACTGTGAATCATTTCTTTTAACCATGGAATTATATGGTTAAGAAAATTTAAGGAATGTGTAGCATAAAAATACTTGCTTGTAGTCTTCTAAGCTAATTAAGTCACCGTAAATAATAATTGAATAATACTACTAACAGTAATTTATTATAATTCAATGAAGATAAAAAGTTTGGATTAAGCAGGTCATAGCTATCTGCTCTTTTATGTTAAATGATCAATACATAACGTTCACTAACAGCGAGTAATATGAGTCTTCTCTATTACCAACCTTTTACTCAAATTATAATTTTTTAAAATGTCAGAACTGTTTATTATTTCACTATTACCAACCTGATTGTGTTATACATATTTGTAACGTAGATTTTATTATTACTAGTTAAGAAAAACTATTATAAATTGCGGTGTGATTTTACAATCTAACTGTTAAAATTTATCTATCAGTGTTCATTGATACTTCTAGTAGTAGTCACTTTCGAATCAAAATGTTTCCTGTTAACTGAAATTTCAAAATAATTCCTTATTACATGAAATTAAACACTGGGTTGATGTTATCTTCTTGTTCCAAATTAAAGCTGGAAAAAAATGTAATGAATGATTGAGTATAATAACAGAGTTGGAAGGTTTAGATATCCTTCAAGGATCAAAGTAAGTTTACACGAGTAAATGAGAAAAGATTCTAGTAATATCGCACTGTTTTAGTGTGAGTTTCTATAAGTTCATAAACTGGCTTTTGATTAAAGTATATAACCCCTATGTAATATGAGTTCTCACACGTTTTGATGTACTAAAAAAGAGTGGTCTGACAGAACTACTCTAATCTCATTTCAGCTTATACGATAGTCAAATCCTAATACTCGTATTAAGGCACTTTAACGTTGTTTGCCTTTGTTTTACAGTAATCAGTCTTATTTACTAAATCCGCTTAAATATTTATGAAATAAAATGAACCAATTCCTCCCACTATTTATGTTAAGTCCACATAGCCTCCTATTGTCTTAGTAAGGCTGTAGTGAACAAGGGCACCAGTGGCGAAAAATCGGATGTATTTGAAAGGAAATTACAGTTGTTAATAAAATCTAACAACTATATAATAAATGCTCAATTTGCAAAATGACTATCAATTGTCTCAAAATGACTCAGACTTCATTGTTCTTGCATTTTCATACAAATTGCATTCTGTTTCCATTCTTTACTGCTTGATCCTCTTGTCTCTGCTGCTAGACACTGTTCCTGAGTAACGTCATATACTACTTATGTCAATATAAGTAGCACACACCGCAAGACTACTACCTGTTTGCATGATGTAAAATACAACAATGCTTCTCCTAGTTACAAACCGATTGAGTGACTATACGTTTTCAACATTAAGGTGACATGACATTTCTTCGAGTAGCACATCTACGCCATTGCTGTATGCTGTTTTTGACTTGTATCAAAAATGCTACTAGATGCATGGTTACTAATGGATGATAGAATCTAGATTCTTGGCTCATAGTATTTCATAAAGTCTGATTTTTCGTCTACTATTAAAGGTCCAGTTAATATCGATGATCAATAAATAAAGGTAGTCAAAGGATGCCACTTCATTGGTAAGTTTGCTGATGTATTTCTTTTCAGTTTATGAGTTTCAAACTTTTCTCTCTTTTTACTTTTAAGGTTCGTATTACGCTTTCCAAACACACTGTACTCGTAGACGTGAAGTTATTATGGCCGGTCAGTTAAGCGGATATTGGTTTTCCCGTATCACTGGAGTTCCGCCGAACTTGGTATGTTTCGGAAAGTAAAATTAACCGTCACTTGCTAAGGAAATCACATTTAGCATTAGGTCTCATCGTGACTATGTTAACTTAGGACCGTTGAAATCTCAGTAACTGGAAACCAATCTATCAATAAAGAGCAGTAGACTTTAAATCGAATCGATTCCTAGTCGTACAAACTATCCATTTATTTCGTGATAACTGTTTGCTTTCATGTATTTAGATATTTTTGATGCTTCCGATGTGTGCGTAAAATGTAGTGTTAGAGTGATTTGGTTTTACAAAAAACATTATGTACATTGTGATACAGAACATTCGTAGCTCAGAATGAGGCTTTTGGTGTTTTGTTCTTTGAACTGGATGGTTTAGTCAACACGTAAGTGATGAACAACTGATAAACGACAGTCCAGATTAGAGGTGAGGACTTTCCATGTGATCATACAAACAATCGACATATATTTATAGACAAGATTTAACCAAATTCCAAATCAACGGAATAGGTTGTTAGTTAATTGTGAAAAAGTCTAATAGCTCTCTTCCTCTTGGAATGTGTACTGATGATGTTTAAAAGGAAAGTGAAGGCTTCATAATCAAACCACTCAGTTCAGAGAATAAATCACTTACAAGATCTACAAAGTGAATGTACAAGAGAAATATGCAACATGACACATGGACAACGTTCCAACCAAATACTCATTAACCTTACAAAAACCAGTTAATGGATTTTTATACTCTTTCGTATATGCTTATTTATTTATTTAAACACATAAATATTGGTACAAAGGGGCACTGAATACAAATGCGCCACACAGGTCACTTGACTAGTCTGTGGGCTATGATACTTCCTGGGTGCCCAAACCGAAGCAGGTGGTTTTCTTGGGGGGCCACACCTGGAACCTTTGACCTAAAAGTCTGATCCGCAAGGCAGTGGAGTAACGTCAGGAGATATAGTCCCATGGTAGCCAGTAACCAATAACTGGTTCATATTCCATTTGTTCCTTCAGGATCCTGGAGTCCACCTTTGGTTTGGAGTCGGTTTTCCAACCCCCAAGTGGACTCTCCGTGTCCACCGACACGGTTAAAGAGCCGAACATTCTCTTTTCGTCCTCTCAACTTCATAAACAAAAGCGGTGCCGCGAGAAGGCAGTGGCTGTATACGCGTGGCCATGTGAGAGCATTTCAAGAGGAAGTGTTTAAATAAATACGAACATTGATATAGATCACCAGGTTACTTGAAATATTAAATCAAATGAAACAGTTAAGATATAGCGTTGTTGAGTAACTTTGTGTTATGATGTACTATTACAAAGTTTATGCCCCCTTTCTTATAGTTTGTGGAATTATGAAGATAGCAGAACCATATGACTATTTCAGGTAAAGTGATATACTTCTAAGAAAGCAGGGTGGGAGTTCTGAACTAACCTAAATTTCTGGGAATCTCTGTAGTGCTATTATTGTAACTCTTCTTAGCTTGAGGAACATAACTAAAACTCCAATTCAAGTTCTTGTTAAACCGTTTAAAAAGTGAGCTGCGTCGATACTATGAATCTTATTTTATCCATTGGCATTCATGACTCTACTGTAGGCTATTTTTTATTCTTTGCGTCCTTATACGATAACTAACATTAGTAAAAGCTCAAATATTCCGTCGAAATAATTCGTGTTCTTTTTTTCTTCAGATTTTACCCAAAAATCATGTAGTGAAAACCCTACAGACAATTTCGAATTGCAATTGGCATGGTATAGAAAATGGTACTATAGGTGCAATTAACGGTTGTCGTCCAGTCTGTAAACCTGACCTTAGTAGTATTCAGGCAGAAGAATTCTGGGTCGGTGTGAACTATTCACTTTCTGCTCTTATGATAGCCGAGGTATGGACCGGCTTAATAGTTATTTCAAAAATTTGTTTCCTCGTTAATCTTTAGTATGTTACGTTGCATTGATGAATTCTCATTACTTCTAATTCACATCAAAGTCATGCGAAACCTTTGATGTATAAATCACACTATTTCCTACCTTGATTAGTCAGTTGAGTAAGATCTTTGTGTACGACACAATTTTATCATTTGATTCTTAAAGTTCATTGACGTATTGTTTGAATATAATAGTCAAAATTCATAATTGAATCTACCTAGTGGACATTCAGTTGTTTCATAATATAGAGTAAGTTAACTTCTTTATACAAATCTATCATTAAGTGGAAAGACTGATCCTTTTTAATCTAGCTACTTATCCACCTTCCTCTATTTGAATATATTTACGTGCATGTTGTACTTTTTTTACAATGAATACTATAGTATTGATGACAAAGATATTTTTCCGCTAGTTGACTTGCTAATCTTTCGTCAGGATAGTGTTTTAAAGTCGATTTTTGAAAGTTAGTTTCGAAAATTAATGACAAGTATGTCTTATTACAGGAGCATTCGCAATTATTGTAGTCTTTGTATACAATGATAATAATTTTGTACTATGACACTACGGGGGATGTGTTTATTTCATATGCTTGTAAGCAATATAAAAAATTAACGTCTTCAGTATTGTTGGTTAGACAAATTCAATTTTCCAGATGCATTTTAACCAATTAAATGTATTAACCATATGCCTTTGGTGCTTATCTACATGTTAACAATATCCTACTCACCATATCGTAATCTCTATAATAGGATTTCATGTAGTTGTAGAATGCTAGCGATATAGTTAAAGAGCTTGAATTTCAGCCAGTAGTCGACAGATTCGAACCCCATTTCAGTTATAGTGATTTAAGCGACTAATTAGTATCACTATCCCCTTACACAACAAAATACATGGTAAAATTTATGTGCTTGTTAAATGAGCTGCACTTCAATAGAATCCAAGTAAAGAACAGAAATATATTGTAAAAAGGACATATGAGATCGGAGAATGTTAAGCATCGAGTGATATGACGTACAAAATGTTGAGAAAGATAAGAAACGAATGTATCGGCGACTGCTTTAACCCAGTATATACAACTACAGATCAAACTTTATCCTGCTACTCTACTTCTGGAAATGTCCATCTGCCGACACTGCTTGGTCCGACAGTCTTGAAGTTAGGTCGAGAAAAGCGGACTGTTTATCATCCTTACATTTATGCACGTAAAGTTGTTTAGTAATCATCTTACTTTTTTTCTGTGTTAGGGAATGATTAACGAGGGATTGGCTCTCGGCGAAAAATGCTACAACACTATTTACAATCTTTACGGATTGCAATACCAAACACCTGAAGCATACATGTCCGATGGTCGTTTTCGTTGTCCTGGATATATGCGTGCATTGGCTATTTGGAGTATTCAACAGGCATTAGAATTCACCAACATATACAAATACTCAGATGCTTCAAAATTTAGTGCTACATTTACAGACATTTAGGCTTGAAATAGTAAAGATAATTCAATAAGCAAACAATTGTACCTAAATTTATACTGTAAACCATACTGATCCTTTGTTAACTTGTTTGTTACATTTCGAGTACTTTATTTTTTATGATTACTCTGCTCCTATATTAGGGAAAAATGGATCGTTATAGTTATTTTACTTTTTTTCTTTTATATATAGTTATGGAGATTTATCTAAGTGACTTTCTTCAAATCCTGCTTCTTTCTATATTCTGTCGAGAACAATTTCGATAACTTTTCTATTTTAAAATTTATAACGTAAGGGTAAAACATTTATTTTATTTACTAAGTATTACATTATATATATATTGCTTTTCCAGATTGTTTTCGTAGACAAAGCCTTCATTGTCAATATAGTGTTTATTTTGTGTGTTAATCAAGAAAATAATTATTCCAAGTATATTAACTGAATGTGATCGGTTATTGGCTAATAAACAGAGCGTTACTAGCAAAACTTAGGGAGCTGTTCCTAACAACTAGTTGTAACAAGGATAACTGTATTGTATATATATATATATATATATATATATATATATATATATATATATATATATAATGTAATTTGGACTTATGTTAGTGGTGGAGTCCATTCCAGCAACAACATCGTGATGATGATTTAACTGTATTTGCTCTCGTAAAGAATAACTCGTACAAAACATTGCTTCGCTCATTGTATTCCGTTGAAACACGTGAGCATTACTTTAATTATTTGATATACTCTTCCGAATTTATCTAGTTCCTGAAAGAGTATTCATTTTCATGAGTCTGTAACTGGAACTTTAATTATATACTGTTGTGTTCTTTTTTAACAATGAGAGCTTTTCCATCATGGTAAACTCTCGGACCGAATGTACGCTGTACTCAAGGCCAGACTCAACGTTTTATTGTCCTTCACGGAGCTTTGTCTTTTAACATCCTTTTACAACTAGATATGCATTCAAGTGAGAAACAGTATAAGAACTCAGGGAGGAAGCAGTCCCTTTTACCTTTCCTAGGACCTTGAAGTGACCTACTAGTGCTATGTAACTACTTGACTGCGCATCTTTATAACTTGCCTGACGCATATCTAACTGGCATTCAGTAGATGTAACACTACGTCGATGTCAAATACAATTTGGTGTACACTCATTGAAAGTAAGGGATAAAGTCTTTGATGTTAACTTAAGTCAGATAATCATGGAAGGATAGTTGTATGCTCTAAATTGCTGTCAACAAAAATGTAGAAACTTATTGCGAATTTCGTTCCGTCGGGCTGCTATTTAGATAATGGGAACCAGGTTCAAATTTCAAAATAATAAATTTAAGTAAACAATTATGAAAACTTATTCGTACTCGTGCTTTTTATGTGTTGAGTGCTTAATTACTGAATAAAAATTAGATTTCTTATTAATAGAAGGCAATTTAATCATTCTTCACGTATTAATCTATCTTCGTCATTTTTTGGCCCTACGTATATAAACAACATAGTATTACACGGAGATGCTGACAAGATTTTTTGAAGTTTTTCAGCTAAAAACAGTCAGTGAAGTCGGCAGGTGTCTTTGGAAACTGTTACGAATCAAACAAGATGTTTGAATTTAGGTGGTATATGTATGTAGCAACTATTTGATCACAAAACTCGAGGCATCTGTCCCCTGTATATCTCCCGAGTGAGTAATCTATAAGTAGGGGGTTAGTTGTTAGGCAGAATTGGTAATTTGTTTGGCGTCTCACAAACCTTTACCGATCGTAGTGAATGGTGTATATGTTACACATGCCTATCACGAGACGCAATGTTGACGTAGAGTGTGTTCGAAGCCGACAGACATCAGTCTATGAAATCACTAGCTTCCATCGAGTTGCATTGATAAGTGTGGACTCCTCGCTTGGGATCAATAGGATAACTACCGGGTAATATGGCCTCAAGCTGTTGACAGATGAATTCATACTTCATCTCCCCCTAAATCTTTAGTTTAATTTCAACCTCACTTGTTTTTTTCGAACCATACGTTTTATGTTCACCTTTTCACACTAGTGAATGTTGACATTTCCCTATTTTTAGGATTGAGTGCTAAGAGCTGGTGTCGATAAATCTCACGCTGCAGACTGCGCTTGAAATAGGCCTGAAAGCTATCCTGCTACACTTGATCTTTTATAAAAACATCTGACCAGTTTATCACTGATTTAACTGAGTACGGCAACCGTGATGTGAGTGCTTACATTTTGAATCTCAAAGATTTGTTCAAGTGCTAGTAATTCTATAAATGGTACTAGTGACCAGACAATGTGCACGTTTACTATTACGTCAATCGTAATAAGAAGTGCTTATGACAACAAGCAAGATAGGTAGCTGGAAAATAGTGGTTACTGTGGCACTTATTTTTCTTAGCTAATAAAGCATCAAGACAACTAGACGCAGATAACTTTATGATTCATACGACACTATTCGCAATATATTCTTAGGATGTAAAGACCCTCATTACTTTCTAATCTTAACTTCCGACTCAATGAAAGCCTATTACTAACTCGTACGTAGAGCCGAACTACTTTCATACTTTATATAATATTCCAGCCATAGATTTTTGTACTCAACTTCTGTTCAAAACGAAATTAGCAAAACAGGACTAGTCTATTAATTACTGGCTGGAAGCTTTGGTCGATAAGCAACTGATGCAACTATTTCTGATGTTCTTTCGTCATATCCACAGTGCGAAAAAGCATACGATAAGGGGATTCAAGTGATTCTCAAGAAACACGAAATCGGGTTGAAGGAAGATTGAGGTCTTCAGACTTGAAAGAGAAACTGGGAGCTGACAAAGATGAATATCGGCAAACATTCGCCAAAACTAATAATAATTCTTTTAGTCAATCATGGTCAAGGTGGGACCTAGTCAGATCTGCATCATCCGAGTTACCGACTCAAAGCGCACTTGGATTCTCTAATATAGAGGACGGTCGCTAAGTAGTGTAGTCCAAGCCGATCATGAAGATAATTTGGGCCAACAAACCAGTGAAACATCGGTTGAAACGGTCATATATTAAATCTGTATGCTGATTGGTATCACGATTTACCATTTACTTTACAATCGGATATGTCGAGAAAGTTGACGAGTGGAGCATTTTTCAGCTACAACGTAGGACACATATGTATCGGTCCAAGTTCCCATACTTCATTAGCACAATAAGATGAACACCGAATTCATACAAGTAGTTACTTTAGTGGTAGTAATATATAAAAGGAAGATTGTGTATAAGGAGATAGTACAGGAAATAAAAATTAGTTCGTAGGAAGAAAGATATAAAGCAATTTTAATCTCACAGTTTAAGGGAAGATAGAGAGTATATACACCTACGCCATTGTGATCGATTCTGAGCCATGTCACACAGTCTCCAACAACTGGTTACGATAGTCACGCGAAACTCATCCAAGTAATCCGCACCTACCAATATAACTAAGACTAGAAATTATTGACTTCAAGGACTAATGCCACGTTTTAGTTTGGCAGCCCTGACTTCCGTCCAATTGTTTCCGACACTAGTCAGCATTGCGAATTGTCATAATCGGAGTTCAGGCATACGCAACGCTGCCGAACCATCTCAGTTGATGAAGATTTGCAACCTCATCAACTGACTTACTATCATTCCCTGCGTCTAACCTCACCATTACTTATCCGGTGATCCCAGCAGATGCCAGTAATATTTCTAAGACAAATACTAGTAACTTACGACTTCTACACTTAATGACCACGTTTCGCAGCCGTAAAGTAGAACAGAACGAACTGCCGAGCAGTATACTCGTCCGTCTCTTGATAGACAGCTATCTCGCCTTCGCCGTAGGTGACGTAAACTGGCAAAAGCCAGACGAATTTTTCGAATCCGTGCAGAGATTCCATCAGACATTAACCCATTAGGTCTGACCGGACTTCCAAGATAAGTGAAGTTGTCGACGCGTGCGACTACTTCACTCTCCATCCTTAGTTCAGGTGTTGACGCAGGCAACAATTTTTATTTGGAGGGGGAGAAACACATCCCAAACATCCTGGCATTGTTGCTCAGTGCTACCGGGAAACTCTACCTTTCACCAGTTGTCCTTCCTCGTTTGAGATTAGCTACAGCCTTTCGAACTTCTGCTAGAGTCGCGGGACCTACTTCAACATTCCATTCAGGTTGTTTTGAAATTATGGGCAGTCGTAGAGTGGCTGAATGTCAGCTAAACTGCTCCTTGAAATATTTCGCTCATCGTTCTAAACGTCTGGGCTGAGAGTAGATACGCATGTTGTCTTTTCCTGAGACTTCTTAATTCCAATTCCCTTATTAATCTGGAGTGGAGTGTTGACGTCTAGTAGTTCGCGTTCCACCGAGTTGTAGACTACTGAAACACACTACTACACCACGAATCGTCTTTCACTGATACCTCTAACGTGAAATCAGGTCTCCAATAGACGTTGCATCATCGACATAAGATAACTGCCGTTTTGTTCATTTACTGAAATAGGCCGTGTGTTGGAAAAAATCACTTCAAGATTAAGGGTCTTAATTTTTTTAAAATTTGATCAAGTGCAAAAGGTGAAAAAGCAGGTATGTGAATTTAAGGCAGGTAACATGTTTACTGGTACAATTAAACGTCCATATAAAACAAAGTAATTTAAGTTGTCAGATTTCACCATATACGTATGGTAAAATTTAACTATATGTATAAATAAAGTTCCAGTAGTTTTAATAAGGTAATTATCTCGCACTAAAGCGAACGGAAAAGACACTAACTGTGACCTTTTGATAGCGTATAAACATCTGTTAGCAGAACATGGTACTTCCAAGATGTCCATGCTAGGATAGCAGACCAGTGTAGGGACGACAACGACCATAAATCCGACCGAAAAGATGACATTTCTAAGATATATTAGTCTAATTGCTAACTTACGACGGTTTTTCATTTCATTGTATAAATTCCCCAGAAGCACCGCTAAAGAGAGAATTGACCCAACTATACCCAGCCACATGTACCGTCGAAGGATACATGGCCATACTCTCCAGTGTCCTCTGAGTAACTGTATGTCGACATATAGTCCAACAGACCCAAACAGAACTGGAAATAAAAACGACTGAACTCACTTGAAAATGAACAACAAACTGCAGTCCCTACATCTCGCACTGTGATATAAAATATATGGAAGCATACTCCAACCAAGATACCAATAACCTGGTAAATTGATTTTATCTTTACATTTCTTTGGACATTAAACCCTAATGGTGAAGATAACATATGATGTTTGTAAATGACGACCTTGGTAAATGGTACCTGAACCCTGAAACTCAGCAACCGACGAAGGACACTACGTTCGTTCTCAAGGTCGAACTCGCTGTTGGATGTTGAAGACGCTACTATTTTACTGAAGAACGTCTCAGAATATTTAACAAATTATGATATGATAAGTAGTTCCTTATGAAATGAGATATATGTCTAGATGTTTAAGGACTGCATAAGAAAGCACTACTGAGCATTCTATCTAACACGCATCTCCAAAATACTATGGAATGAAAATTAAACCTGTTATTCATTATGAGACATAAGCTATCGACCAGAGATATTCAATAAACGCCGCCCTATGCTCTACCGCACATTTTTACGAGCGTTATTCAGTTCAATTCTCGATGTAATATTTGTGGTAAATTCTCAAGTTTGGGCTCCCTATAAGAGGACTGTTCTAAAGTTTATGTTGACACTTCTGACTTAAATCTTGTTATCAAAGTATGCCAACCCGGAAAAATCTGAAATCAGGAATGCAGAGGTTCGAAGTTGGGTGAACTTATCCGCAACGCAACCATGTAAACTTAATGTATCGCACAGGGTCATCTGTGCGTTCAAGTAACCACAGATTTTGTCATTCCATAATGTATTTTTAATTAAATAACTAGATTATGTAGTTAATTTTGCTCTGTTTTTAATTTTAATTCTCCACGTCCGACTGCGTTACACTGTACGTCCATTGCACGCTGGGATGATATTTCAAGTCATAGTGAGTTTATTCACATAGTTGATTGTTTCCAGATAGACTGTCAGTGCAAGATTTTACTGAAGTAAGGTTTTTTGTACTGTAAACTGTGTTTCTATGAACAACTTCCTGTTGTTTTCAGTATGAAAGCAGTATATATGTATCCCTCTTTTTTTTAGGTAAGTTCAACTGTCCTCTATTTCATGTTTTGGTTTTATCGGCTTAATTATGTCCATTTAAATACTTTGAGCAACATGTCTGTGCAAATGAAACAATAACTATGACACTTGCTTAGTTTAGTGTTCTTGGTTGTCGTATAATTCAGTTTAGTTGAAAGAGTTATGATATACTTCAGTATAGTGCTTGAAGCCTATAACGAAACAGATCAGTTTAGTAAGTAGAGTTGCCTGTTTCTAATGTGTAAACGGATTCAGATCAGTCTGATTAAAAACAGAAAAAAAAGTGCCTTTGATGATGTTGCTGTCATACATTATAAGATAGCGATAAGTATATTTGGTGTTTATTTCTAAACTGTACATCTATCACTGACCATATTTCATGATCACTGCCATTAAACAATTTCCCCAGCAATAACACCAGTAGCAAGATAACTAAGTGTCTGGGCTTTTAGTTGTCCGCAAAACAGCAGTATACAATCTTAGAAGACGAGTGTTCTGTGTCTCAATTAAATGCAGCTGACTGTGGGCAAATGTTAAGAAACTTTTTGACAACTGAGACTTTTAGTTTATCAGACACTTACTCTGCTTGTATGTTTTCCTGTTAAACCAGACGCAGATGCATGGGAATACTTAAATGGGAGCAAAATAATAAAAGCATTGCAATACGGTACTAAGCCCATGTTATGCTTTGCGCAAGTAATAGTAGCTGACCTTATCTAATATTCATGAACTCAAGGTAAATCACAACGGCATAAATTCTTTGGTAAAAAAACATGTGATTTGGTTATTTATATATTCCACATTTCTGGCTAAATTCATCAATATTTTTTCATTCACAATGCAACAGGAGTGAGCCTTCACAGACCCTAAAAACTGGAACTACGAATGTTGCAGAAATAGAGTTTCTCGGGGTGTACGAAGCACTCGGACTGTAAGACAGTTGTGCAAAAATAATTCGAATATGAAGGTGAAAATTTGCAGGTACTTTTCATCGTGAGGGTGAACATATTAGGTACCAGTTGACATCATACCGTAAGAAAACGCATATTTGCCAGTGGTGAAATATGATCTATAAAAAAGTGAGCTTAATAACAGTTAATTGCCTTTTTGCTTCCTGATCATGACACTTCGGCTTCCTTTTATAGCCAAAACAGCAAACATGCACTAGACACTGGTAGCAGATTTCCGGCTTTTCAATGTTAAGCTTGCTTTAACGCACTGAGTAATGAGTACAACCCCTCTATTACTGCCATATGGCATATTTTTCATAACAAACCCTCTGCAACAGATTAGTAGCAACTGTGACTTCATCTATAGTTGTCGGAAGTCTGGATCATTTCGAAATCAATACCGATATACCCAACTGCTGGGCACTCTGTATTAGTTTAACTCGCTGGTGGGATAGTGTTGTCCATACTACTGAAGAAAATTAAAAAACGCAGATTGATTCCTTTCATTTTGCCGATAACATCATAAAGGACAGTTAGGAACGAACATGCTAACAGTTAGAGTCACAGGCGGCAGCAACAATTATTTTAGCTAAATGAAAACGAACTTCGGATATCTAGAAAACAAGGTAAAACATAACCGATTGTTGTTTGAAAACGTAAGGTCTTATGTTAGTTCTAGCCAGCTTAGGTGAACAAATACAGTGACTTCATTAGCAGCAGGTAAAACCCAGAAAACAAAGCAAAATCAGGAAAAACTTTGCTCCAACGTTCAGAGTATAACACTAACTTCTGGATTTTAGCACACTGAAACATCAAATTCTGTAGCTACACAAAAGAAATAGCGGAAAAAAACAGAGAACGAAGAAAGCCGGCCGACATTTTACAACACAAGACTAGCCAGATTGCCTGAAGAAATACACTGACTTGAGTAGAAGCAGCAAAAACCCAGAAAACATCGCTGATTCGAAACAAACTTCACACCAACATATAGAACATTACACTAAATGCGGCATTTTAGAACACTGAGACATTAAATTACGTAGCTACACAAAAGAATTAGCTGAAAGAAGCACAGAACGAAGAAAGCCGACCGCCATTGCTTAAAAAGATGGCGGATGTAACAATTCCCGCCTCATTCTGATTGGTTGCTAAGCTGAAGAGCACATTTACGAAATTGAGTCGCGTTTAATTGCAGCCGAGGGTCAGATCACCTGAGAAGTCTGGATCTTCCAACTGCATCCTAGATGTCCACTGTATTCCATGCTTCCCTTCAGATGTTGACATTTTTATGATCCAGTCGATCACCGGGAGATAGAGAAAGGGTGAGAGTAAGCAATCTTGCCTGATACCGGTCTTTACCTCGAACGAGTTTGTCAGTTGTCCTCTATGCACGATTTTGCAGTTTAATCCATCATAGGGATTCCATATGATATTGACTATCTTCTGAGGCACGCGGTAGTATCGAAGAAGCTTTTATAATGTTGTCCTGTAAACGCTATCAAATTTCTCCTCGTAGTCAATGGAGTTTATTTAGAGCGATGAATTCTACAATGACCCGTAGTGTTGCGATTCCGTCTACACATAATCGATCCTTACGGAATCCTGCCTATTGGTCTCGAAGTTGGGCGTCTACGCAGCCCTTCATCCTGTTTAACTACGCCATGTTGAGGACTTTTCCTGGTATTGAGAGTTAAGTGATGCCCCTGTAGTTATCACACTTGCTGAGATCGCCTTTCTTTGTTATCAGGTGTCCTTCTTCCCAGTCCGTTGGTAATTGTTCTTCGTCCTAAATCTAGCTGAAGAGAGTGTGAAATATCTTTGCAGTTTCACCTACGTCTGCTTTCACTGCCTCTGCTTGAATGTTGTCTGGTCCCACTGCCTTGCAACTCTTGATTTGTCTGATGGCTATGCTGATCTCTTCGCTTGTTAGTGCGCCAACACCGATTGGGTGGTCCGTGTGTGCTACTTCAATGTTGGGTGGGTTCAGTGGAACTGGTCTTGTTCGGATGGTATTGATCACTGCCTTCTAGTTCCTCCTTTCTTGAATCTTATCCAGTGTATCAACAGTAATCGTGATTGCCTCTTTTATCTCGTTCCAGTTGACCTCCATAGTGGTTACTTCTACATTGAGTAGGTCATCAAAGGTCTGGAACCTATTGCTCAGGGCTATCTTGAATTTGTTGAGTTTGCCAGTATCCCGATGAAAAGCCGTATTAAACTTTTGTGCTGTTTCCCGCCCCATTGTCCGGTGCTTCTTGAGTTTCGATTGCTTCTTGGCTACCAGCATGTGAGGGTTCTCACGTCTTCCATAATCCACCTGAACATTTTGTCGATGCAGATATGTCGATTTGATTTTGTGTAGTGTGATCCGGTGAAGTTCATGTGGTTTTATGGATACGTCTAGGTGGGGATATGGTCCCGCCTATAACCAGTTTATTGAAGTCACATAGGTTTTCAAATCTCTCACCATTTTCGTTCCTTTCTCCCAGTTCATGTCGTCCCAGGATATCTTCATTTCCGGTATTATCCACTCCAACCTTAGGTCTCCCGTCAGAATGGTCAAGTCCTGTGTTGGGCACTTCTCAGCGATTTACTGCAGCTTATCGTAGAATTGGTCGTCAACGTCTTCTTTGTAGACGTTGGTAGGCGCATAGCATTGGATGACATTCATTGAAATGCCATCTTTCTATGTTTTGAAAGAGGCTTTGATGCTCCTTAATCCATGAGATTTCCATCCTATAACTGTATTTTGTGCTTCTTTTGATAGCATCAATGCAACTACTTGTGTATGTGTGGCATTTTCTTCTTCGTGGCCAAAGTATAACAGATGTTCCTCTGTAGCTAGTCGTTGTTGTCCGACTTGTGTCAAATGTTTTTCACTGATCCTAAGTACCTCCAGGTTGTATCTCCTCATTTCTGCAGCAATTTGGAAGGCTCTCCCGGTGTCTCATATTGTGCGAACATTCCATGTACCTAAATAAATGGTTGCTCTGGTTTAGATGGTGGTTGGAGGTAGTCAACAGGAAACCCTGGACCCGGGTTTCGTGCTACTTGGCACTCGTCAGGAAGGTGTACCTGTAATCTTGAGGGAACTGATGCTCCCTGGCGGATTCGATCTCGTGTCACCCAGCTTCACAGTCAGAGACGTTACCACTGAGCTATCCGAGCCGTGACTAAGCTCCTGTAGGACTGAGATGTAATCACAATTGATTGATCACTGGGTGGTGCTCTGGTTGCCAGAAG